CAAGTAAATGTACTGTGATCTAATGCTGTGTTCCAGACTGCTCTGAACTCTGAAATTATTTCAGAACTCAAAGCGTTTCAGGTGCATGACACTGAAAGTGAATGAAAAACATGGCTGAACCGTGACAAACTGTTTTTTTGTTGTTTTTTTGTCAGGTGAACACACAGCTGAGCCCTCAGCAGTGCCCTTAGTGTTTATTTACAAAAAAAACATAATATATGTTACTCGTTAACTGTGTTCCCGTCTAGCTACATCAGTTGGTAATGCCCAAAAGTCAGTAAATGTTTTCACATTTTTTGGCATTTTTTAACTGAAAAATCTTTGTGCAGAGACGAGGACTTTCAGAGATTGTTTACTGTAACCTCGTACCTGATAACACTGGCAAAAAATTTCTCCATCAGTTTACATGAAGAGCAGGTTTTACTATATGCTAGGATGTATTGTTTTAATTAAATACAGGCAAATATACTTTGTTAGGGATGTCACGATACCAGAAATTTAGTAGTCGATACAGATACCAGTAAAATGCCACGATTCTCAGAATCAGAATCCGCTTTATTGTCAGGTATGTGTACACATACAAGGAATTCGACTCAGGATTGTACATTGCTCACGATGTGCTTACTCGTACTAAAATACCACAATAATAAACACAATAATAAAATAATAATAAAATCAGACACAAACTACAGTATAGAAAACACTAACATACACACTATGAACAAAACAATATAGACATATTGACAAATAGTGCAGTGATCAGAGTGCAAAGGATGCAAGATTAAACTATTATTCTCATTATGTACATGTTGAAGGTAGATATGATATACAGGTACACATACACATACATGCATACATGTGTACATGTACACAGTGTGATGGAGCATAGTGCAAAGGATGCTGGAAAAAATAAATACCTATGACCTTATGACCTGAGGTAGGTGTATTGGTATACAGTATATACAATATGACGTATGAACAGCACTGAAATAGAGAATGGTGAATAAATAAATAATAGGTGGAAACCAGTAAACAGGTGCTGATTAGAGACAGAGTTACTGGGTTATTGCACAGGAATTGTTCCTGACACTGTGAGTCAGAAATCAGCTGTTCATCAGAGTGATGGCTTGTGGGAAGAAACTGCTTCTGTGTCTGTTGGTTTTGGCGTACAGTGCTCTGTAGCGCCTACCAGAGGGGAGGAGCTGGAACAGGTTGTGTCCGGGGTGAGATGGATCTGCAGTGATGTTTCCTGCCCGTTGCCTGACTCTGGAAATGTATAAGTCCTGAATGGAGGTCAGGTTGGCACCGATGATTTTTTCTGCCGTCCTGACTGTCTGTTGTAGTCTGCTCCTGTCCTTTTTGCTGGCAGATCCAAACCAGACAGTGATGGAGGTGCAGAGGACAGACTGGATGATGGCTGTGTAGAAGTGGATCAGCAGCTCCTTAGGCAGGTTGAGCTTCCTGAGCTGACGCAGGAAGTACATCCTCTGCTGGGCCTTCTTGATGATAGTGTCAGTCCCACTTCAGGTCCTGGGATATAGTGGAACCCAGAAACCTGAAGGATTCCACAGCAGACACAGGGCTGTTGAGTATGGTGATGGGGGGGGCAGAGTGGGGGGGCTTCTCCTGAAGTCCACGGTCATCTCCACAGTTTTGAGCGTGTTGAGCTCCAGGTTGTTCTGACCGCACCAGAGAGCCAGCTGATCAACCTCCCGTCTATAGGCCGACTCGTCACTGTCCCGGATGAGGCCGATGACCGTTTTGTCGTCAGCGAACTTCAGGAGTTTGACAGATGGGTCTCCTGAGGTGCAGTCGTTGGTGTAGAGGGAGAAGAGCAGTGGGGAGAGCACACACCCCTGGGGGGCGCCAGTGCTGATAGGCCAGCCTCACCTGCTGACTCCTATCAGTCAGGAAGTCTGTGATCCACTGACAGGCGGAGGCTGGCACAGTGAGCTGGGTGAGTTTGGTGCTGAGGATGTCCAGGATGATGGTGTTGAACACCGAGCTGAAGTCCACGAACAGGATCCTTGCATATGTCCCTGGAGAGTCAAGGTGTTGCAGGATGTGATGCAGACCCAAGTTCATCATCCACTGACCTGTTAGCCCTGTAGGCAAACTGCAGGGGGTCCAGCAGGGGGACTCTAATGTCCCTCAGGTGGGCCAACACCAGTCTTTCAAAGGACTCCATGACTACAGATGTCAGGGCGACAGGCCTGTAGTGATTTAGTCCAGAGATGGAGGGTTTTTTTGGGCCCGGGATGACTGTGGAGCGTTTGAAGCAGGAGGGAACTTCACACAGCTCCAGTGATTTGTTGAAGATCTGAGTGAAGATGCGGGCCAGCTGGTCCGCGCAGATTTTCACGCAGGATGGAGACACACCGTCTCGGGGCCAGGAGCCTTCCTGATCTTCTGCCTTTGGAAGAGGTGGCTCACGTCCTCTTCACAGATCTTGAGTGCAGGTGAGAGGTCAAAGGGGGAAGGTGACTGAAGATGGCGTTGGAGTGGGGGAGAGGTGTGACTCTGGGCTTTTCAAACCTACAGTAGAAACCATTCAGCTCGTCTGCCAGTTGTTGAGCACCAGCAGTGTTGGGGGATGGTCTCTTGTAGTTTGTGAGTTTCCGTAGGCTTCTCCACAACGACGCAGGGTCGTTGGCTGCAAAGCTGTTATTTAGCTTTTCAGCGTAGCTCCTCTTTGCAGCTTTGACCTCTTTAGTCAGCGTGTTCCTGGCCTGGTTGTAGAAGACTCTGTCCCCACTTCTGAAGGCCTCCTCCTTGGTCTGACGAAGCTGCCTGAGTTTCGCTGTGAACCAGGGTTTTTGGTTGTTGTATGTGCGGAAGGTTTTAGTCGGCACACACATGTCCTCACAAAAACTGATCTAAGATGTCACAGTGTCAGTTAGTTCGTCCAGGTCAGTGGCTGCAGCCTCAAAAACACTCCAGTCAGCGCAGTCAAAGCAGGCCTGTAAATCCAGCTTTGACTCGTTGGTCCATCTTTTCACAGTCTTTACAACAGGTTTAGCAGATTTCAGTTTTTGCCTGTGTGTCGGGAGAAGATGAACCAGACAGTGATCAGAGAGTCCCAAGGCTGCACGGGGAACAGAGCGATAGGCGTCCTTTAATGTTGTGTAGCAGTGGTCCAGTATGTTAGTGTCCCTGGTGGGACACTTAATATGCTGTGTGTACTTTGGAAGTTCATGACTGAGGTTTGCTTACTTACTTGTTAAAGTCCCCAAGAACAATGAGCAGGGAGTCTGGGTGTTTTTTCTCCACGTTAGTTATCTGGTCGGCCAGGTGTAGTAACGCCTCACTAACACAGGCCTGACGTAGAATGTAAACGGCAACCAGAACAAACGAGGAAAACTCCCGCAGTGAATAAAACGGTTTACAGTTTATAAATAATGTCTCTAGGTGAGGCCTGCATGATTTCTTCAACACTGTGGCATCTGTGCACCAACCTTCGTTTATATAGAAACAGACTCTGCCTCCCTGTGTTTTTCCCGTGAGCTCCCTTTCGCGATCTGCGCGGATGACATTAAATCTCGGTAGGTGAGGTAGATGCGCTCGTTGAGCCAGGATTCAGTGAAAAAGAGGGCAGCGAATCTGCAGAAGTCCGAGTTAGTTCTGTTGAGCAGCAGCAGTTCGTCCATGTTGGCCAGAGAGCGGATATTCGCCAGGTGGATTGAAGGGAGCGCAGTGTGAAATCCCCGCTGTCTCAGTTTAACCAGCGCGCCTGCACGTTTTCCCCTGCGCCATTTCCGAAGGATCCCAAACAGAGCTGCCGCTCCTCCAACTAGTAACTCCGGGAAAGTTCCAGGGTCAATAAAGAGCGGTGGAATAGTGTGAGCAGTAGAAAGTCCAATGTTTAAGAGCTCTTCTCTGGTAAAAGTTACCAGAGAAGGGATGGCAGAAAACAGCGTTACTTAACAAAAACACAAAAAGCACTACGGAGTGTAATCCCGAGGCGGCCGTCTGCGGCGCCATCCTGGTTTTTCTCGATACCAATGCGATACCACGGTAAAAAACAAAACAATAAATCCCATTAACTTCAACATACACTGCTTTAATAAAAATACAAGAACAACTAACAGGAAATCGAGGCTTTGGCACAGAGCTGTAGAAGGAGACAGCCGTGAAACTAACTTCACCTGTTTCCAAACTCTTTTCTTTTCAATGAGTCGATGCGGGACTGTCGCTGCAGCAGCACTTGAAGCGATCTTCCACATGTTGGCTCTCCAGTACTTTCAGTACCTAGTAAAACGAGTACCAACATGTTTTCAGAATTTTGGTTGTTACCTCAGTATCGGTTCTCGAGACCTTCCTACTTTATATTTCCTTTTCGTTTATTAATTACTATTTACAATGTGTGCTTCCATGGGAGTTGCTGTTGTGTGACATCATTCAGCAGTCGGGGGACATATTTTTCTCAGAGTTCACAAGATGAATCATCGGAGTCAAGCGGCCTTAAAATGGTACTTTTTCCAGTTAGCTGTCGGAAAGTTGCCTGGAAAGCAAAGTAAGATCCAGAACCTGACAGATCTGGGTCGAGTTCATTGATTGAATTCGCCCCTGCTAGGCCTCAGTACGGTTGCTAAGCTATGATTGGATTTTCAGTTTTTGGTCACGTTTCCATTCCTGTTGATTAGAGCTGCAACAATAAGTCCATTAACAGTAAAGTAATCAGCAAATATTTTGATGATTTTTAATTGTTTCGGTTATATGACACTGATTGAAGATGTTGAGATTTCTGTTCAGAAAAAATAAATTGAATACAGCACTGTGAGAATGTTTTTTTATAAACATAGACTTTTTTGACATTAATTGATAAAATCATTGCAGCCCCGCTGTTGAAACTCATTTGACTGATTAACACTTGAAATACTTGAGTCTCTACTAATAATGATATTTCTAATTTACTATCCATCCTGGTGGAAAGATTACCCAGTTATACATCCAGTCATTTTATTGAATCAAACCGATCAATAACACAAACATGAGGAGAATTGATTTTTTGCAGATTTTATTTAACAAATGGGACAAACATTGAAATGCAGGTCACTTGGTTCATCTGCAGTGTTGTAACATTTCTACAGCAACAAATCATCATCTGATGAAGTTTCAAATTAAACTTTATATTACTCAGATTTAAAATAACTTATGTACAGAGAACGAGAGAGAAAGAGAGTGCATGTGTGTGTAAATGTTTGGGGGTTTTTGGCTCTAACATTCACCTATTAATAAACAGTTTTTAGGGGGAATGAAAAATGTTGAATAGAATTTACATCCATTGCGTCTAAAAGATAAAGAAAGTCCAGAAACAGGTCCAAGTTGGTAATTTATTGTCTCTCCAGAGGACGATCTGATCACGTGGCGATAAGGTGACTCAGTTTAAACACATCATAAGTTCTTCATTTTTACAAGATTAAATTTAAAGTTTTAAACATAATATTTTTTTTATTATAGAATTTTGGTCTCCTAGAAAATCACAAAAAACATGTAAATACATCTCGTTGCTCCAGTTTTTCAAGCTGTGGATGTGTTAATTAATATATTGATTTTATGCAAATCACATTCTAATCAGCTACATCCAGTAAAGAGCTTAAACCCCTCCCCTTTCGGTGGACCGCCATTGGGATCATATTTCTCCAGAAATATGTACGGTAGTCAACGGCGAGAGACTTTCTTGACTTAAATTATCTCTTAACCTGACAAACATCATGTGTGTGATTCAGGACACAATTCAAATGAGATCTCTTGTTGCCTCTCTCAGCTGACTACCGTACATATTTTTTTTCCAAAATAAGGTCCAATGGGGCAGAAGGGAGGGACTTGGACTCTCTAAAACGAGTAGGTTGAGGCCCAGTTCCCATTGAAACAACTGGATCTGAATCTAGAGAGAGAAAACGTGTGATAAATAGTTTTCTAGTTTAGTAATTGATGCACTCAAATCAGTAATCAGTGCACTCAAACTCACTACGGATCAGTGAATACACTTAATATGTTTTGGCTGTTTGACATCCTGGTAATTTGTGTCAAAATAAATATTATTAAGTGCACAAATCAGAAATTGATGCAGGAACTGATCCTCTGTAACACCTGCAGGCTGCTGAAGAACGTTTACGCATGATCAGAAGCAGCTGGCAGGACGATGTGTTCAACTACACGAACTACAGTACTACTACAGTACAAATGCTGTAGTTCACCTTTTCCATGAAAATCAAATGTAACAAGCATAGGGAAGAGGATTAGGGCCACGTGATTTTTTTAAATCTCAGAATTTTGACTTCCAGAATTCTTCTCTGAGTTGACTTTTATGTCAGAATTCTGACTTTAAAGTCCAAAAAATTTTTCAAATGCAGCCCTAATCCTCTTCCATAAAAGCGAATGGAGGCGTTGTACACATGATGTCAGTTCCTGTCTCAAACGATTTTAGGTCAGAAATGAATGAACCAGGTTTGTGAGAAAGCTAGAGAACTCAAAAAGACAAAGTCTGAGCACGTGTCCTTAAACATGTATCCCCGTGTGTGCGTTGGTGTGTGTGTGTTCTGTTGGCGCAGCTCGTCCTCACTTCCAGACTTTGACGATGCCGTCTCTGGACGAGGTGACGATGAAGCCCTGTGTGGTCTGAAAGGTGGCAATGTCAGTGATGATGTCATGGTGTCCCACGGGGAGGGATTCTGGGCCGCGGCGAGGTGAGTCCTCCACCACGCCGCTCTTCTGTTTACTGTGGATCTCCTGCAGAAGACACGTGAGATTTTTACACACTCACAGGAGGCATGATGGGAAATAAGAATAATTACAGAAGAGTTCGATCTGGACATCAAAACACCTTCAAACTAACTGAACTTCAGAAATGTTAACTAATGAAAGAGACAACTGGTCAGTTGGTCCAGTTAGAAACTACATTTCCCATCAGCCTCTCTTCCTGTCCGTGCACAAATTAGCTTTTTCTGAGTGAAGCTCAATAAGATATGAAAGGAGAAAAAATGCATTTCCTAAGCTGAAATGTAGTCGTAGTTGCAGTAAAAACTGTAGTAGAAACAGTGGTATTTGTAAAAACTGCAGTAGTAGTATGATTTGTAGTAAAGACTGTAGTAGTGGTAGTACTATTTATAGTATAAAATTGTAGTTCTACAAGTAGCAGCAGTGATAGTAGTAGTAATTAAGACTACATTAGTAGTAGTGGCAGTACTAACAACAGGAGTAAAGATGGTAGTAGTAGAAGTCTCAGTTGCAGTATTAAGACTGCAGTAGTAGTAGTGCACCTGTCACCTGTGAGTGTGTGTGTTCACCCACCTGTACGACTTCGGTTCCTTCGATGATCTTCCGGCTGTAGAGAACAGACGGACAGTGCAGCGAGTCGTTGGCTCCTCCCGCCACGATATATGACCTCTCAGGATACGCCAGATCCCAGAACCTGAAACCACAACAAAACTTTTTATTTTAAAATACGCTCGAGAGTAATGATAAAGTACCAGCTGTCTGGCTTTCTTTATCGTTTTTGTTTTGACCGGTGTCCAGTAATTCACATCTCAGCTTTCAGCCTTTTCAGTCTCATCCGTTTTTATTTGTGTCTGTGAGAAGAAATTCTGCTGAACTCATCTGAGCAGTAACTCAACTTAGCAGCTGTTAAAAGGGAGCAGCTAATCAGTAGTGAAAAAGCTGGAAAAGATGAGGGGGGGTAGTAAAAATGAATGTGGTCTTTAGCTCTTTACGGCTATTACAAGGTCATTTCAATAACGAATACTTTTCTCACACCACTTCTTAACTAACGGAGGATTATTATTATTAGGACTTGGAGGAAACAGAATGACGGTGACACTGGCTCCTACTAGACTGAAGAGCTCTGCAGATTCTGGAGCAGCTTTTCGAAATCTACAATTAAAGATGTCTAAAATAAAAGCTCTGGTGTTTTTGTCTCTTCACTGTGAGCCTCAGTGATGTTTAGTAATCATTTATTGACCTAGTTTATGACCAAGTCTGCATGCTTTGGTATAACCTTCAGTTCATAACACTGACTGTGTTTTGTATCACACTGAGGTTGTACGGAGGTGGTGTGTTGTTGTTGTGTTTTTCTGGTTCAGACCTGATCCTCATGTCAGATCCAGCAGTCAGCAGCAGAGGGTTCCCGTCAGCAGGACTGCAGTAGATCCCGTGAACGCTGTGAGGAGACGGCTGCAAAACAAACACACACCTTCAGTGGCAACAGAACACCTGACTTTGTGTCACCTTTAAAGTTGATATGAAGTTGTTATCAAACAGCTGCTTATCTCCAGACCAGTGTTCTCTCTCTGCTAGCTCTGTGTTTGGTCTCCACCAGCTGCTGAGGGAAATATCTGACTCTTTCGCTGCTAAATGCTCCACTATGTTCACCAGCTGCTCTCTGTCTCAGTCTGTCTGCTGTTACATAGTCATGTTGTCTTCTGATAGCAGGCACCAATTTAGATCCTTTTTTTGTCCATCTCGCATTTTAGGAGTGAAATGCTGTGTCTGTTGAATACTAAATATAAATCTACACACACGCACACGCCTACCTGCATCTCAGAGAGTGGAGGTGCAGAGCTCGCCCACAGAGTGAATTTCCGATCCCCGGTCTCCATGTCCCACATCGACACTTCATTATTCCCCTGGACAGCTGCACACAGACGGACAGACAGAGATTATCAGACAAATGTCCAGCTGTCACCATCAGCTTCTGTCTGATCAGTTTGTGCGTAACCTCGGTCACACTTGACTCACCCGTCCTGGTAGGTTAAACTGATCTTATTTATTAGTTCACTGTACTAAAGGTCCTTCAATCTAAACTCAACTAAATCTAAATAACATTTCACATATTAAATATATAAACAGATCATTCCGCTTTCGTCCTCTCACCTGCGATGACAGATGATTGGTAGAGCGGATGCATCAGCAGTCGTCTGATTCGTGCTCGGGCTGGGTGGGAGTGGTTTGAGATGGGGAGCTGGAACCGCATATCCCAACAGGCCATGGTGCCACTGCTCGTACCTGTGGAGGAAACAGACAGCTGGGAGGTGAACTACAGGATTTTACATTGAAGTGACCGGTTTAGGATGCAAGTCTCAAAACTCAATGATTCCACAAGTATTCTATGATCCATTTACAGGCTCAACAGCCTCAGTTTAACAGAAGTTCATCTAAAAATACCCTGATTTTTATTCAAGAGAGTAGTTGTAATGTTACGGACAGATTTTCATCTTATTTTCAAATTTTAATATTTTCAGAATAGTTAACTACGCATTTTGCATCCAGCAGGGCTTAAAGCAAGAATTTTTTCTGTGCCTGAATTGAGCATTAGACACTTCATTTCCTAAATTCTGGTAACATTTTCTGCCACCACCTATGATCACTGCTTGAAATGGAAAATATAGGTGCTGGTACTTAGTGCTGGGCAATATGGCCGAAAATGTTACCACGATAAAATCGATAATTCTCTTTATAAATGTCAAATCATTATTTCTTTCAGGTTTAAAGGCTGATTTTTGCTCCTGAGTTAAAGTTGAAGAAACCAGCTGGTTAATTGTGGTTTTAAAGTATTTTTAAGGTCAGAACAAACACTTGATGCCAAACACTGTACAAATCTGAGGTAAAACATTCAAAACAATTCTGATTAAGTAAAATCTTTTTTTCAGTCCCTTTTCAACAAAATAAATATCTTAATGGACAAATGAAGTGCTGATTTGTTCGTGATTCAAATGAATTAAATCAAACATTTATTGACCATTTGTTATATTGCTACTGAGAAGAATTATATCATGATAATTATCATTATTGTTTTATTGCCCAGCCCTGCTGGTACTCCCCATTCACATGGGGGAGTGTGTATCGGCTGGTCCTAGGGCTAAATTGTTTCATTATAGTTTCAAATTATAGTAAACTATAAAGCTCACCACTAGTGTAATATTAATTCCAGTTGGACAACGGTTTCATTTCTGTGGGTTTTCATTTATTAAATCCATGTGTAAGAACAATTTGTTCCAATTAGTTCATGCTAAGTACTAACTAATAATCAATCATGCAGAATGATGAGTTCAACATTTTAAAAGTTTGCTGAAGGGCATCAAACTTTTTTAATGCCTCGCCCCATCCAGGCTGTGATTGGTCGGTTCACAAAAAGTTACTGTGACAGCAACTTTCTGCACTCGGCTGCATGAAAGGCATCCGAGCGTCTACCTGCTCCGTCTCCACCGACAGAGATTAGCAGACAGGCGAGAATGGGAACAGATGAGCACCACATAGAGCCCACCGGTACGCAAGAAAAGTCCCAGGACGCCAAAGAGCAAAATTAGAGAAGAATTAACTTAACTGGTATCGATGACCCACTTCCAGCACTGCCTATAATCACAAGTGACGCCACTTATCTGTGAAGCCGTAGTCCACCGGTGGATTATATTCCGACAAAAATTGTCCAGACGATCCAACCCAGTAAAAGATGTAGTCCAAAACACATTATTATATTAATAAATACACACGACTGCTGTTGTGTCGTTTTATATTAGCCTAACTAAGGTAAGCATGTAAACAATAGCGTCTACATGTTGACCTTTTGAGTGATACCTTAATTGACCCACTAGAAACTTCCATGCCCTGTTCACAGCCTACAATAGCCAATGAGTGTCCACGTAGCCAGGAAGTGCCAGTCCCCTTTCTTTCGTGTAAGTTATACACACCAACAGAGACGAGTCACCAATTGTGCAGAGGAAAACTAGAACAAACTCCCACCGCTGGAATTCCGGCACAGTGCTGGAGAACTTTAAGGCCTGTGCATCCATTCTCTGCTGCTACTACATAAAAAATTGTATTTAAACTTTGGTAAAAACATCAGATTACAGCAGGTGTATGAACTTAAACACACAATTTTTTCTTTTGATACAGAAATGTCCTCACAAAGATGGCAACACAAGCCCACACACAGACCTAGGCAGAGCCAGCACTGGTGCATGTCAACGGTGAAGGAGGTGATGAGTCCCAGGCGGAGGTCGTGGCGGAGCGTCCAGGCATTGGAGTTGGAGCGAAGGTCCCAGCCGACCAGCGAGCCGTTGACAGTGGCGTACGCCAACACCGACTGAGCGCCGGAGTTGAAATGGTGGATGTCAACCGCACAGCCGTCCTCCTGCAGGTCCAGAGACCTGAGCGGGAGGACACACGAGATGGATGAACCATGTCATCAGTAAGAACAAGGTGTTTACCTGTGCATGTGTGTCTCTTACCTCGTCTGGAACGGCTGAACTTTGGGGGATTTGGGCGGTTTGTTTGCTTCGACCGCCAGCAGCTGGATGGATCCGTTGTCTGAGGCCACCGCTAAGTAATGTGACCCCTGACAGAAGGTCAGCGTCTTCACGTGACCGCCAATACGAGAGTAAGTCAGCACCGACCTGCAGGAACACACAGTGTCAACACAACAGCGCTGTTAACGTACAGACACGGTGTAAAATGTTTTCACAGCTCTTTAGTCTGCGGCTGGACTGAGAACGTGTGAGAAGAACGGTGGGAAAACTGTCCTCCAAGTCCCTCAGTGCTTTAACTGAATCTGAATTTAATTATTCTGGATTTATTCATAAACATGCAAGAAGTCAAGACACACATGTGAAAATGAATGTGTTGAAGTTCGAGATGCTGTGAGAAAGAAAGAGGCGCAACCGCTCCTTGATCGTCCTGGTCAGATGATGAAGTCCACAACACAACACACAGCTGAGAGTTAGTTTGTCTGTAATATTTATATTTCTTATTCTTATTTCGCCTATTAAATTCTACTTCATTCTCCACCTTCCTGTTCCATTTCCCTTTAGTTCTCTTTTCCCCACTCACACCTACCCCTCTGCCCCGCCTCTTCCGGTCTCTCTGTGTCTGCTCTGCTGACTTTCTCCATCAGCTCTATGTTTTATAAAGTCGCCAAAAAGACTCCAAAAGATGACTTCTAAATTTTCCCAGCTGCAGGTGCGCCGCATGTGGAGGAGGCTTGTTAATGAAGTAGCCTATCGAAACAATCAAAACCACCGTGGTACTGAATGACACCTGTACTGTTGTGTTTACTGTTCTCTGTGCTTTAAGTGGTCTGTGCTTGTAAAATATCCACCGTGTGCGCATCTTGTAATACCAGATCAAATCTCTCTCTGTGTTTCTCTGCAAAATGTTAAAATGGGTCACCAAATATTCCTGGGCGGTCTGCCCAAGTAAAGTCTATACGTGGGAAACACTGCAATTATATCAGATCACATATATCAGTCGTGTAAACATTAATTGTTAAACTTAATCAGTCAGTAGAGTTTCTTGTGCTCCTTCCCTGTCCCTTTAACAAAACATGACTTCATAGCAGCGTGTAGAGAAGTGAGAAGATTAGTAGTGAGCATATAATATTTTAGTTTTAATTGTAAGACTCACATTTAGTGAATTAATGGTGGATAATCACAGAAGACTTGTGTTGTTTTGATACAATTCATAAAAACATTTTGCCCAGTAAATAATTGCTGTGTCTTAGTTTGTACCCTTCCAAACTCACACTTATTATAGCAAAAGGCAGAGCAGTAGAAGTACCCTGATGGTGTTACTCATAACGGTCAAAAGGTTGAGTGTGGGACGCTGGACACTTCTAACCCTCAGCAGTCGCCATCTTGGCTACGTAGCGGAAGGGGAGGAACCAGGAACTTGTGAAAATGGTGGCTGAGGAAGCTGCAGCGGTTGCGATTATAAAAATGAAGGTTATTTTTCTTCATTTTTAATCAAATTTAATGAAGTCAAGTGAGCAAATAAGCCAGCAGGTATTTTTGAGTGTGATAATCGCGGTTAAACGATGGCAATCATGATCTGCCCAGTGACAAATTGCTATTAAAAAAAAAAGAAGAAGAAGAAAAAGAAGTTGTCAAACACTGTGATCATGATTTCCGGTGTACTAATGGAAGTATCTGAATTGAGGCACAGCAAATAAATTAATTAAGAGAAGCTGTGTCTACTTGTGTTCTCCCTGGAACCGCACAGTGATGTCATGGCATCCTGGAGTGCAACTGTACGTCACTGCAGCAAGGTGAGAAGTTAAACCGCTGGATGTCAGCAAAAACGAGATGTTCAGGGGGTTTCAGGTTATTAGCAGCAAAAACATACTGTGAACTCAGACACATGACAAACAGGTGTCTTGTCTCATCAGACTCACCTGGTGGTCGTGGTCTTTCCCTCCATCTTCTGACTGTCCCAGACTTTAACAGTGCCGTCATTGGACGCAGTAGCAAAGATGGAGTGTTCGTCTGAGACCCTGATGCGGTTCACGGCAGCTTTGTGTTCGTGGAGGTGGGCAACCAGCAGCCCTTTAGGGTGCCACCCTGAAACACACATTTACACAGCAAGTGAGCCTCATTAAGTTTCTGGGGGAGAAACTGCTGCTTCAGTGCAAATTATGTTAAAACCGAAACGTTTTAATTTCTAGTCTGATACGTCCAATCTAAAAGTGTTTTAGGCATGATGCCAAAACAGGTCATCTTTAAAGCTTTAATTATTTCAACACAGAATCTAATAAATTATTACATTTCCTTTCTCTAAACAGTGGATCTGCCTATAACTGGTCAGCGTGGAATGAAAAGGTAATGTAAGTTATGTAAATGTCTGAAAACTAAACTGATAGAGTTACGCTTTGATTTTATACTAATTTTGGATCCGCCTCTCCTCTACTAACTTTATTAGCAAGGAGCCATTTAGATACCACTCAGGTATCGCTGACACTGACCACAATTTCACCAGTTAAAATGGTAAAAACATCACTGCTGGCTGTAACTAATAAACATTAATTATGTCACTACTAAAATTAAACTCTGAGTTTTAGTAAATTAAAAAAGTTTAGTTAGTTGAAACACTGCTGAAAGTTGAACCTCATTAGATTCATGCAGCGTTCCATTTAACTCTGAAGTGTGACGTCACACCCATATTTTTTCCTACAGTTTTCACTACTGTTGCAGCTCGGAGCAGGACTCGAGGTCGGGGTTGGTAAGGTGCTCCCGAGTCGGAAAATTCTACTTGTTGCGTTCAAGTTGAAATTTCCAACATGGAACTCGGATATTCCGACCTCACATGTCAAATGGATACACCATCAGAATCACTAAAATGCTCTCGAACCCGAATGTATTTGTTTATTTGTTTGACAGGGACCAAACGGATAACACTGGCATCCGTGCGTAGTTAGGCTTTTAAATCTATGTTGAAACAGCTAGGGATTCACCGACCTGACTTATTCAGTCTCAATTCCGATATCAATACCTGGACTTTGGGTATCGGCCGATCAGATAGATGTAAACTAAATAAGCTGTATTCCTCACTGTAAGGAAGAAACTGGAAATCATTATTTTGTGTATGGCAACATCAGGCTTGACTTCAACACTACTTCCTAACTTCGTAAAACAAAATGCTAAGTTAGCTCTCCAAGCAAAATGTTTGGGTCTACTGGCACACTGCTGATGCATTGCGTAGTACCTGTGTTATTGAACTGAATAGATCGGCCACCTTGTGACCAATACCTGGTCCAGCTATCTAAGTCAGTGTCTAGCCGATCTCCAATATTAGTACCGGATCGATGTCTATGAAGATTCTCAGTCATCCAGGTCATAGTTATCCAACAAAGGTTAAAAATCAATCTTCAACCAAGTCCAGTTGCCCTTGACTTTTAACCTTCGTTGGATACTGGATTGATGCATCCCTAGAAGCAGTCAAACAAATGAGTAGATTAAACCAGTGGTTCTCAAACCTTTTCACTTCAAGGACCCCTAAACTGACACAAATTAGACCAGGGACCCCCATTTGATAAGATTTTGTCCCAGGACCGCCCATCTGAGAGGATTTTTGCTTTAATATGTTTTATAACAGAAGGTGTATGAAGCCCATGACCCAAATAGTCACACATTCTGTCATTGTGTTATTTATGGATGGAATTATAATGAAAATAAATTATTCCACTTTTAGCTGGGGACCCCGTGGAGCCCCCTCAAGAACTACTGGGTCCCTGGACCCCACCTTGAGAATCACCGGATTAAACAGAATCAGGACAAAAACAACAGATAAACTGTATACATGTGACTGCGTGTGTGTGTGTTAAAATATAGGTGTGAAAGTGTGTCTGAGGTTGTTACCAGGTGGAGGAGGTCGACTTTCCCACTCCGCGCTCTCCATCATCTGTTTGGCCATGCGCTCGGCGCTGCACTGCTCCCTCTTCTGCTGCACCAGCTGCTGCAGCTCCGCCTTGCAGGTGTTGATGCGGCGCTGGTAGGCAGGGCCGCTCGCCACCGACTGCAGGACGGGCACCGCCGGTGCCACGGCGCTCTTCCTGACTTGACTCGCCGGCCCATCGGCAGACTGGTTAAATGTATTCATGCCATTAACAACAAATCAGTCTAATCATCTCTGAGCTAAGTGATGGAAGGATTTAATCAGTCTGCTGTGGCTCATCAGTTACATATTTGTTTAACAGATTTGGTTTGGTTTCAGGTTTTACTTGGAAACTGACACCCAGTTGGTTCTCTCCTGGTCCCTCTCAAAAAACTGGAACAACATTTTCTATGTTCATTTTTATATAGTGTTACATTATTACCTTTGGCTAGCTATTAAATTAAAACAATGTTAAATCAAAACAGACTTTCAGACTACAGAGATCACTCAACACATTCAGCTTGGTAACATTACATAATAAGAAGCACATGTTTCTGTGTCCTCTGACTCGTTCACTTGGCTTCATTTCTTTGGCCAACAGTCACTAAAAGCTCGTCACTGGATCAATGTTGCAGACAAAGAGCCAAACATCTTACTGCTGTACAATATAAAAACTACAGTATGTACTGATACACAATACTTTACCTCAAATGATATCGGTCATCTTAGTCTAAGCCAAATCAACTCTAAAGCCAAGAGTCTTTGTGTTTATTCTTTTTAAAAGAATGGCAGAAATGGAAATAAAAAGGAAAAAGTGGCTGGAAGAAAAGTCTGCAGCTCTTCAGAGGAGATACTTTAGATAAAATGTACATAAGGGAAATGCATGAAAACATATTGCAAACAAAATAAATGCCTGTTGTAATTATTTACATCCTTGAGGCAGGTGAAAAGTCTGCTCCTGTCCTTTTTCATTGTGAGTTTGGAGATTTACAAGAAAGCAGTAGCTTCAACTGGTGAGCAGTAAAACCTACTTCATGATCAATTCCAGAGCTTTATCTTTTTTTAAATATTATCTTTTTCAGATAATGTTGGGACTCTTTTTGGAGCACATACTGAGATCCTAGTGAAGAAGCTGAAGGCCAGGATGGGCCAGGATTTTTTGTCAGCGATGGGCCCTGACCTAATTTAACAGTTAGGAAAACACTCGTACAAGCAAAGTGTTCTAGACTGTGTGAACAGTATTTACACTTCACTGCCTCTGCCTCTGTGTTCTCTACGCTATATATCCCCATTTTGTACTTTATGATCTGGTCTACCAGGCTTCAATAAGCTTAAGGAGACAGCAGCATTGGTATATTTTTATTTACAAAGCCCTTCTGGGTAAACTAAATATCTGTGTGATCAGTTAGTATTATTTTGGGTCATGATAGCTATTCAAACCGTTAACCCAGGATTTGTTAGGGCAGCTTGGTCATGGAATAATCTTCAGAAGATGCTAAAAACTGTGTGTGAGTGGATTTGGCGGATTTGGTAGTGTGTATCTGTTGAATGCTCTACTTTAGCATTTTTCTAACCTTGTAATGGTGTGCTATCTTGGCCAGGTCGTGCTTGAAAAAAAGATTTTGATCTCAAGGTCCTTGTAAAATTAAAATAAACACTGTGCGTCAGGTAACGACATGTGGCGGTGTGTGATTGCTTCTATGACGTCTCTGCTGCTCATAACCATAGACTGTATTAACCAACTTCAAAGACCTCTGCAGCTCTCTGAAACTTAAAGGTTCAGTGTGTAAGTTTAGTGCCATCTAGTGGTGAGGGCTGTAAATTGCAACCAGCGGCTCACTGAGTTCTGAAGTCATTCCTCTGACTTCAGTGTGTGTTCCTGTGCTCTTCAGTCAGAATGTGGAATCAACATGGACGCTGCTACAAAGACGTGTTGAATTAACATTATCAGAGTATATAAACAACATGCAGACATCTAGTTCTCTCTACATGGACAGCAAACAAACTGTTATAACCATATTACAAATTAAATATATACACAGCTTGCTTTTCGCACGTATTCAACGTTGTGATGAAACACACTCTGTAGAGCAGTTTGTCCGTTTGGGCTACTGTAGAAACATGGCAGCGCAACATGGTGACGTCCATGTAAGAGGACCTGCGGTGTATGTAGATAATATTGACTCATTCTAAGGTAATAAAAACAAAATAGTTTATTATGTAAGGTCTTTATACACCACTGAAAACATAGTTATGGATCTTCTATTGCATTTCTGTCAATAGATCCCCAGAAATATTACACACTGGACCTTTAAAAATAATTTTAAATAACATTAAAATCATTTGACAAGTAATTTGGAGCTGAAATAATTAGCCAGTTAATTAATTAAGTCAATCAACAGAAAATGTTATGGGAACTATTTTGATAATGAGTTAATCAGTAAATTCTTGTTTTTTGCTTCTCAAACATGAGGATTTGATGCTTTTCTTAGATTTATTTAATTGTTCACTGAGTATCTTTACGTTCTGGACTGTTTTAAGAGAAATATTTATGGCTTAATTATTAATAAATAATAGTTGGTGTGAATGTACCTCTGGCAGTACAGCACCAGACACACTGATTACTGTAAACACCTATAAATCTCAGCCACACCTGCACCAGACGCAGTATTAGAAATGCGGGGTTACCGTGGCGGGCTGGGCGGAGGGCGGCTCCTGAGATCCAAACATGCTCTTCCACTCCTCATTCATGGTGGAGTCCTGCTTTGTGTGCTTTCTCGCTGCAGGATCCAAACACAACAGGTACATAAAAACAGCATGTTAGACCCTTTCTCATGCCACAGAGCTCTAAGTGTATAAATGTTTGGCATCACCACATGCTCAACAGATGTGCTGGTTACAACTGCAAAAAAAATGTTGATCTGGAATCAAGCGCTGGATCTTTTTAGGCTTTTATGGTACCTTGAGTTTTTAATAAAGAGATAAAAAAAGAGAACATAATAAAATTGTTTGAGATTTGGTCTTGTTTCCAATTAAAAAACACACTGAGTGAAGATTTCATAATTTAAGAATAGAGTGAAATTATAAACATGGACTGACATCTGTGCAAATGTAAGAAAAAACAGGTAAATTAAGTCACCTTAACTTCATATTTTAAGACTCAAAAACACAATTCCAGTACTCCACACCCCTATCAGATGAGCATTTATTGCAGTGCTGAGGGAATCTGAGGACTGTCGGGTATTTGGAGAACACAAAGAGAAAGTGATTAATGATGGAGATTAAAGAGGGGAGTTCGCTCAGGGCTGTTTTTCTCTTCAGTGGTTTGGCTGCAGATGGCAGTAATACTATGGTAACCATGGTAACGGCTTCTGTGTGTGACACAGCTGTAGCCTATTTAATGTAAGTTAAAATTATAGGCTGCAGAACTTTCCCTGATAGGCTTCATCTAGTTTTGCAGGGATGCTCTGCCATGTGAATTCCTCCTGCTGATGTCCCGTTTAGTTAACAGTAATAGATTCTGGAAACTCACAAACAGCGAGGATCAGTCTCTCGTCCAGTGATTTGTACTGCACGTCGTGTACAAAAAGTTCAAGAGAATTCAACTTCGGCGGCGGGCGGCGTGTGCGTGAGGCGAGCAATTCATCTCACTCTAACAGGGACACTTGTTACTGAACACAGACTGTTTCTGCTGCTCCCTGATAAAAGAAAAATGTTTCTGCTGATACCTGTTCAGAAAAAACAAGAAAAGTGGACTCTGATGAAAACTTGTTTTAACAAGCTAGATAAAAGGTTGTGGCAAATACCTCTGGTTTGATTTGATTACATTAATGTTTAAGTTGAGATTTACAAGAAATATTTCATTGCTACTGTGAAAAGGGAATACTGCCAGCACCAGAAATAAGTGGCATCTACTTCTGACTCTTCAATAATCCTTACTTTGGATTTTTTATTCACTTCAACTTCTAGCAGTTGACCATAGAGTCAACTGCTAGCTTAAACGCACATTTCTGCCGATAGGGGTCTCTCACATCAAAACAATAGCAAAAGAATAAAATTCGCCATATGATGCCACTGACAGGCGACAAAATGAAACGCACCGTTACTTTGATCATTAAAATAACAGATTTATGTGGGTTTGAAAATTGTTGGAAACATTAGGGATAATTTAAGTGACAACTCAAGAAATATTATTTATCAGTAGAAAATGACCTTACAGTGAACGCAGGGCGAGCTAACTTTTAGCTTTGGTTTGTCTCTGACTTGCTAACAGCGTGGAAACTGAAGCTCTCAGTGTTGCTGCGCTACACGTTGTTCTGCTGCTGTGTGCGTTGTGTGTCTGCAGAGTCTATTCATCCGCTGCACATGAGAACACGTTACAGTTTAGTTAAACAACCAGCAGTCAAATTACTTGTAAATTTCAGAACAGGAGAAACGCTACAGACTCCTCTATATTTATCTCATTTGTTGGGCTCATTGCACTTACCATTACTGTCTTATTTGTTTTCATGTAATTGTGTATCTTTGTTGTGTGTCAAATAGCCGGCTACTTGAAATAGACCCGTGAGAAACCGCGACGTGCGTGCAGTTGTCGGCAGCACGACATGCACGCAAAACTCTGCACAAGACCGGTGAATTGCGTGTTATACTCAACTGTTTGACCGTTATGAGTGCATCATACACGTACTAATAGTGCACTGCATTTTATCATACTTGTCAGTGTAAACACGGAGTATGGAAGGGCGCAAATTTAGATTGTTACTCTTGATAATCCACAAACAACACTATGAACAGCTTTCATTAATTTACCGACACATTAAAAAGGTGTGCACCAAAAATGTGTAAGAATTACAAGTCTCCACCTGTGCAGTCATACTCCAATAAAACAGGAGGCAACATATCACATGTCGGTTCATACAGTAACTGCTGCCAACGGTTGTTACCCAGTTAGCCGTGCAGCTTATTTGAGTCCAGAATGGGCAGTAGAACTGGAGCAGGGCGAGTGCCGTTTTACGATGAGTTAACAAGGCGATTAGTTGGTTGAAAGAGAGAAACTTGACTTCAGAAGGTGTACTGTTGTATTTTTCTGTAAGAATATTTCCTCTCGACATTTTGTGAGTTAATTATGTTTATTTATTAGATTAAATAGCTAAGAGAGCTTCTGTAGCAAACTTGCCGCTTGCACTGTACTATCAGACTCACCACCTCTCAAGCTACAAAACAGCACATGATGGGCCAAAATTCAGTTAAAAAAAAATAATAAATCATTAGGAGTTAACTATTACCGATTGGTCCTCCACAAGCTCTGAAAACAATTGTCTAATGAAATACACTATTTATTTGCGTTATGGGAAATGTAGGTTTCATTGTTTTTGGAGCCGGACCCATACGAGGGACTCAAAGTCAGGATGTGGAAGCTTCTGCTTTTGACCATGTTTCCCCCGAACATTAAGGAGGTGCAACACTAAATGACTGGAGTGCAGAATTAAAACTGTTTTAGCTCATACAAAAACTACAAACTTAAACATATGAAACCTTTTGAAAAGCCCCGATGAAAAGACGATATTGTGAAGACACGAGGGTTTCATCGTGATAAAAGCATAAACACTGTGTCATAACGCTGATCAATTACCTCTCTTGTCCTCAACCTCAGCCTTGGGTTTGACCAGGTCGACCTGGCGGCCGGTGATGCCGAGCGTCGCCAGGTCGATGACGCCAGTCTGGGCCGCCTCTCCCAGGTGACTCTGCTCACCCATGTTGGCTTTGGCCTTGTTGGATTTCAGCATGAAGTCTTTAAGCGCCAGCAGCTTGTCCTCCTCTGCCTCCGTCATCCCCTGCACAAACAGAGGACAGAGTGAACAGGGTTTGGACACAGCCAGAGGGGAAAGCTAGAAGACGGGTTAGCTTCCATCGAGCTCCTGCTCTACTGGAGAATGTACACTTGTCTGTTTCACAATCACATGGAACGATCTGGGTTTTGATTTGACTATTGAAGTAGTCCAGTTCTGTAACCATCATGGTTTTTAAGGATGACTTATCCTTTTACTTCAGCAACAGTGATGTTCTAGATTTTTCTTCTTGTCACCAAATTCCAGAGTCAAACCAGCAGTGTATGTATCTGTGATAAGTCCTGATGCCTTTTCTTCATCTGAGCCATAGGAACTATTAAACCCATCAGTGAGCCTCACTGCTGCACCGGGTCACATGTTCCTTTATCACCATGAACACACACACTAGTTCATTCTGCGTATTGTTGTTGTTCATCGTATTGTTATGTGCACTTCTAATTTAAATATATTGCATTTTACACAAAAGTACAATACACATTATACTCAGCTTGTGGCTGAGACAGACCAGCCCTCCGCTCTACCAGCAGCAGCAGCAGTGGGAGGAGGACAGGAGGGACTGAGTTGTTCATAATTTCTAAACTTCATACAGTATGTTGATGTCAGGAATATGTAATATTTATTTTACTGACATGTTAAATTTGTTTCCAGTGAGATATTAGTGACTTTGCTGCTGTAAATCCTGTTGCTGCTCTAGAAACAACATGTAGTTAAAAAAAACATTTTTAAATAATATATGCAATTATTTAGTAAATAATAGGACTGGTAAGAAAATCGATAAAGAACTGAACCAATAAGGAGTACCAATACAAGTGTGTCAATAAAATCTTAATGATCCCAACTCGTGAGAAAATGTCCGGCCCATCTCTGTGTCCTGGTTTTAAAATCCGCCCCAATCGAATCTGTAATTGAACAGCCCTGGTCTGCATTGATCATAGTAATGTTTCTTCTTGCGATGAAATTAAACTGTCCATATTTCCATTGCATGGATAGCCTTTGGATATTGCTGGAAATTGTTCTGAGTCCCCCTCATTAAAGGGTCAATTATTATCATAATAACTGAATAACGCATTGCATTTAAACAGCACTTCTCATACACAAAAAGCGATAACAGTAGCCTACTGGTCTAACAGGAATGTTTTGTTTTGTATAATGTAATTTAATAAATATATCACTAAGTTACTGAAAAGATCCTGTTTCTGAAACAAATAACTGTAGGCTACTGAAACATTACATTCTATACTAAACTGGACATTTTGACAGCTTGAATTTGCCTTTGTCTCATTTGTCCCTGATTGAATGTCCCTCTCTGACAAAACAACTGGCCTCAGTCTGGCCCCCTTAATAAAACTGGTCTAGAACCGCCACTGGTCTCAAACTTTTTGTAAGCGACGCGCAGCACAAATCATTGGAAGAGAGACTGATCCTCGCTGTTTGTGAGTTTTACTAACCAGCATGCGGTGTGAAGCTATCCACTTCACTGTGGCGTCTGATCGCTTGTCTTGCTTTTGTTTATCTACAGGGATTGGACAATGAAACTGAAACACCTGGTTTTAGACCACAATAATTTATTAGTATGGTGTAGGGCCTCCTTTTGCGGCCAATACAGCGTCAATTCGTCTTGGGAATGACATATACAAGTCCTGCACAGTGGTCAGAGGGATTTTAAGCCATTCTTCTTGCAGGATAGTGGCCAGGTCACGACGTGATGCTGGTGGAGGAAAATGTTTCCTGACTGGCTCCTCCAAAACACCCCAAAGTGGCTCAATAATATTTAGATCTGGTGACTGTGCAGGCCATGGGAGATGTTCAACTTCACTTTCATGTTCATCAAACCAATCTTTCACCTTGCTGTGTGTATTGGTGCATTGTCATCCTGATACACGGCACCTCCTTCAGGATACAATGTTTGAACCATTGGATGCACATGGTCCTCCAGAATGGTTCAGTAGTCCTTGGCAGTGACGCGCCCATCTAGCACAAGTATGGGGCCAAGGGAATGCCATGATATGGCAGCCCAAACCATCACTGATCCACCCCCATGCTTCACTCTGGGCATGCAACAGTCTGGGTGGTACGCTTCTTTGGGGCTTCTCCACACCGTAACTCTCCCGGATGTGGGGAAAACAGTGAAGGCGGACTCATCAGAGAACAATACATGTTTCACATTGTCCACATCCCAAGATCTGCGCTCCTTGCACCATTGAAACCGACGTTTGGCATTGGCACGAGTGACCAAAGGTTTGGCTATAGCAGCCCGGCCGTGTATATTGACCCTGTGGAGCTCTCGACGGACAGTTTTGGTGGAAACAGGAGAGTTGAGGTGCACATTTAATTCTGCCGTGATTTGGGCAGCCGTGGTTTTATGTTTTTTGGATACGATCCGGGTTAGCACCCGAACATCCCTTTCAGACAGCTTCCTCTTGCGTCCACAGTTAATCCTGTTGGATGTGGTTCGTCCTTCTTGGTGGTATGCTGACATTACCCTGGATACCGTGGCTCTTGATACATCACAAAGACTTGCTGTCTTGGTCACAGATGTGCCAGCAAGACGTGCACCAACAATTTGTCCTCTTTTGAACTCTGGTATGTCACCCATAATGTTGTGTGCATTGCAATATTTTGAGCAAAACTGTGCTCTTACCCTGCTAATTGGACCTTCACAGTCTGCTCTTATTGGTTCAATGTGCAATTAATGAAGATTGGCCACCAGGCTGGTCCAATTTAGCCATGAAACCTCCCACACTAAAATGAGAGGCATCTCAGTTTCATTGTCCAACCCCTGTACTTCTCCCACACGCTGCGTCCAGCGCAGTCTGCTGAAGCCTCCCTCCGCTGCTTGTTTGGGTGGCTGATTTGCAGGCTGATCAACATACCAGGGAAAACAGGGATGTTGCGGTTCATGGTTGCGGTTTAAAGCCCCACCCTACGAGGGTGCGCTGTTATCTGTGTAAACTCTCAAGTAATCGGTCCAATATCGGTCAAGTTCTGATTCAAATCCATCAACAGTGAACAAAATCTGTTTTTTTTTTTAGAACAGTTCAAGGAATCTGTCCTTCGGTCTTTCCGAAGTTCGGGCCAATGTGGTGTTTGAATACAGTATTATATGTTAACAATGCCAGGAAATCAGAGAGCAATCATTTAAAGCTGTAATTTTCAGTTTGAGTGCTGCTGGAAGCTTTCTGCTTTGGTTTGTCTGCTGGCTTGACAGGGGACTGAAGAACAAGACTAAATAGGGAAACACAGAAAGAAGAGTTGTAGTAAGTTGTAGTTGTAGTTGCAGTAAAGTCAGATAAACTGAACTCGCCACTGTGTGTGTTGTGTACTGGACCAAGTTGAACAAGAACAGTGGATACATTAAGACCCGTGCGTTTGGATTCTGCTCCTCTGTTCCAAACTTCCTGCATATTTCAGCTCCTGACTGAACTGCAGTGAGCATTTTACACTCCATCAAAGTGTCTCTTATCTGCCAGGAGCTGCTACGCCGACCTAACGTCACCTCATTTGTTATGTGAACAAAGCATGAAGAAGAGAGTCCTTCTGTTTCCAGTCCTGGACCATGGCGGACCGCAGCAAACGCTCCAAAGTTTGACTTGGCTTCACTAAAACAGAGATGCAACAAAATGCACCAGCTGCAGTAAGGAGGTTTGGTGCGAGGCAGGAAGCAGCTCCAACATGACGAAGCTTTTACTTCAACACGGCGTGAATCTGAAGGAACGCTTCACCGTGTTCAACGTGTCACGCTCTCCCAGCTACAATGACGCCCCAGATCCAGCTAACGCTAACAGTAGCAACGTCTCAGGTACAAAACACCTTTTATACTGAAGGGAAACCAATGATGGCTACAAATGTCCCGGTCTGTGGTCTGTTAGAGCGGTTTGTATGGTTGCGTAATGTTTCACAGAAATGTGCTTTTTCCTCAGAATAGAAAGTCTCCCCAGGCTGGATCTGGCTGCCTGTGATCAGCTCCACTTTCCAGATGCAGCATGAACGAAAAAGCTACTGATCGTCTAAAAGCTCTGGCCACAGTGTGAGTGACTTTCTGTTTTATCTGGACTCAGTTTAAACTTTTTAAGCCAGTGTGTGTCTATGAAAACATGGCACCAGCAGTGTAATGCACGCTGTAAAAACTACTTTGCTCATCACAGGAGTTCTTGTGCAGATAAAACGTCCTGTGAGGATATTAAAACACACATAAAAATATGAAATGTCCCCAAAAGGCTTCATAAAATTATTTTCATTCAGAGTTATGTGGAAGTGCCTCCTGGGTTTATTAATCTTGTTACAGATGTTCTACAGAAACATTCTGGTCATTGTGGTTTAATTCTGAAGAACTCCTTTAAGGTTCTTCAGAGACCGTGGCGTTTCAACTGATCAAAGTGACGCTGGGAAGAGTCAGTGTCTGCATGTTTTTAAGTACTTGAAGTGCTTGAATCCCAGGTTCTGTTGCCTCCCTCCTCTGAGTGCTCCCCTCCCTCAGAATAACTTTCTCAGCTGCCTTTGTAGGAAAACATCAGACAGCTGGATTTGCTTTGAATAGTTTTTTTCCCCTCTCTCATGTTCGGATCAGATGACACTCAGAGGTGCTAATTCAAGTTCCAGTTTGTTTATTGTCTTTTATCCACATACAGAGTATACAAACGAACAAAAGGTCGCTTCTTACGGCCAAGGGTGCTAACAACAAAGTCACAATAATTCAAAACACCAAACAACAACACTAGATGAGACAGGGCTGATCTCTTACTGTGAGGTGGAGTGAGCATGGTGTGTCTGGAGAACTATAAAGTGCGTAGTGCAACGTGTTCCTGAAGTATGTATACTTTTCCCCAGCAAAAAAAATAAACATCCTCTTACTTAAAACTGCTATTATTTTCAGCAAACTTAACGTGTTAATATTTGTATGAACATAAAAACATTCAACAACTTAGGAGTCTCACAGTACAGAAATTCCAATGTATTGCTCTGGCAACATCTGCAGTCCTCATGCCTCCGTGCAGCATCCCTAAGGCACATTTACGCAGATGAGCAGGGACGCTGGGCAGCTTTCTTTTGGTGTTTTTCTTTTCCTCACCTTTGAGTCAGTGGCAAGGTCTCTTTAGTGTTCAAGTTTTTATAACTGTGACCTTAATAATATAATAATATTAATAATAAACAAGAGCACACTACAGCGAGACAGGAAGGACAGCCCCCCCCCTTTGTTCAGGGACCCATTTTTCTATATGTTGGTCACATCTATGTGAAACTCAGTTTATGTCTTAAACTGATGATACATGTGGCAAGTTTTTGAGCAATGTTGCTAGGCAGTCTTGCTGGTGGCAAGTCCGACTTTGTTTTGAACGGATAGCGGCGGGGCGGGTGGCGGAAGGGGATTCCAGTCTCTCTCTCTCTCGCTCTCTCTGACCATCACGGTGGTGGCACCTCACTTTTACACCTGCGTACAACATTGAATGCAAAGGATTTCACTGGCTTTTAGGTGTGTTTGCTAAAGAAACCCTGTAGAACCAATCAACAAAACAAAATTTAGTCTAATTTTACCAGACGGCTGGGCATCTTTTTAGTTCTGAGCTGTTACCAGCAGCCTCTGCTCCCTGAAATCATACGTTCATGTCATTTGTCCCCAAAATCTGCGTGCAATTTCACATTAGTGCCTTGAGAGTGAATAACTTCCACATTCACTCGGACGACCTTTATCGGTTTCTTTCTGTTGTTGGTGTAAAAAACCCTGGTCTCACTGTAATTTTAGGGCGCATTAAGGTCATTAGAGCGACGATGTGCGCAGCTGAACTTCACTGATTATTAAAATCTCCCATCAGGATCTTGCCCTAATGTTAATTCATGTTCTGTGTTCTTCTACACATCCAAAAGCTTCCTCACGCAGCCAGATTCATACAGTGAAACTGTTTGGAGTAAAGCAGCCGTCCTCCTGATCAATGCTGAGCTCCACCAGGAAACAATTTCAGCAGCAAAAAGTTTAATTCTGTTTCCTCTGTCCTGTCATGTTTATAGCTACATTTTGTTTTGTTTTGCTGCTTAAATGCTTCACGCTGTCTGCTGTCGGTCACTTTAAAATGACTGATAGCAGCCTCTCTAATCATGAAAGGTTAACCGTTAAAGAAAACACTGCAATAAAACACACATGGGAGAAAGAGAGATGTGACCCACAACCGGTTTATCATAACGCAGCGCAGTGAGGATCCAGATGTTTCATAGAGGAGACAGACTCCAGTCTGCTTCACTGATAAACCACAGACCTGCACAGGAACATCAGGCTTCGTGATCAGAGACGGTTTTTATATCACGTCCACACTTCTGACCACACCCCCTCTCTGCTGTGAGTCAGACATTCAATCAATCAACTGAGTATGTAAGACTACAAATGCTACAAGTGTTTTTCTTTCCTGCACAAGAATCCGGACTGGAAAATGTGAGTAAATATTTTAATATTAAGGTCACTATTCTTCCCACCCAGCATGACTCTCCTGTCTCGATGAAGGAGGTTTAGGTTTCTTATCGTGGCGTTGATATATTCTACTTTCTCATTTCCAGAATAAAGAAACTAATTTAAAACAGAGATGCCTTCTGTGAAACCTGTGGACCTGCTGACCCCAACATCTACCCACAAGAACAACACTAACAGACCAGGAGAAAGAGCATGACACAGTGTTTAGTTTCTCAAAAGATACATTATGTAATCCAACAGCCTTCCCTCAAGTGATGCTTCATCATCCTGAATGCCACTTCTTTCCATTTCCACGTGTGGCAAACTATTTTCTTTACAGCTAAAAGCACTTTGAATGATTTCTATCACACAGCAGCTGGATGTTATTCAAACAATAAGAGTGAAACTTATTCTGACCTCACAACCTAATTTGGCGTTTCTGTACTGACATTTCTTGTTACTTATCGGTCAACAATTCGATACATCTGCAATAAGCTAATATTGGCCCATTTACAGTTACAGTATCTCACAAAAGTGAGTGCTCCCCTCACATTTTTGTAAATATTTGATTATATATTTTCATGTGACAACACTGAAGAAATGACACTTTGCTACAATGTAAAGTAGTGAGTGGACAGCTTGTATAACAGTGTAAATTAACTGTCCCCTCAAAATAACACATCACACAGCCATTAATGTCTAAACCGCTGGCAACAACAGTGAGGACACCCCTAAGTGAAAATGTCTCAGCCTCACAAAGAGCAGTGACTACCTGGAATATTAATTAATTAACATAATTAAGATGCCATTTTGAGCTGGACACTCTCAGAAAGATACATCCCTTGGTTGAACAAATCCACATCTTTCCTCACAGTTGTTTACCAGCTGAGTTTTAAACATCAACAGAGTTTGGCTGGGTTAAATAAAGAGCAAATAACAGACACTCTCTGCTGCTCGGTGGTCTGCGACCTGATGACAAACAGGAATAATCAAAACAGCATGGAGGCAGCTTGCACAAAGATAACAACACAGACACACATATCCCTGCTGCCACCCACCAGCATCCCATCATCCGGCCATATGGAGACATTTCAGGTAACTCCAGACGCCACAACAACAAAGTTCACAAGGAATGTGTGCATGTAGATGTCTATTGTTGGATGATCGCTGAAACGCAGTGTTTCACTGCCCCCTGTGGCTGAAAGTCTGACCACAGCAGCATCACTGATCAATACTGAACACACACTGTCTTCATCTGACCCTTAAGTTTTTTTGTTTATTTATTATATAATGGCTCAAAGAACGTGCTTTGTCCAACTAAAACTTAATTTGAGTTAGGGAAACAAGAAACATGTGATTTGGTAGTTTTCCTTGAAAAGTGAACTCAGTAAAGTTCAGCCAGTAACACTGCACGCTTAAAAAAGAAGAACATATTATTGTTGTTAAAATCTGGAATGAATGCTGTAATTTTATCCCGACTGTCAAAACACGACTTTGTTTTATTTAGTTACAACCTACCACACTGTCTCTGACTCTTTATGCTCTTTCACACAACTTTATATTTGCATTCTTCTCTTTGCTGCTGATTAACTGCACTGAGAACTCAGAGCAGATTATTTTCATACACTGATTAGCTTTCTGTAGCAGCAGGTTAACTGTAATGTTTGGCCTGTGAACAGCTCATTAATGATGAGCCGTCACTTCACTGATTACAGAAACACAATCTGATAAGCACTTCAAACATAAGTGCAAACATGGGAAAGTTTTCAGCACGGCTGGCTTGTCCTCGACTTTAATGACCCTGAAATTACCCAAAACCATTGAATGGAATGAATCAAGCTGGAAAACACAATCGGCTGTATTCCAACAAAGGGACCCTTTTGTAAAATCCAATTTTCCAGAAAATTCACCTTATCCCCCTTACTGAAAAACATAACTGCATTGACCCTCCCCCGCCCCACCCAGGTCCACAACCTTGGAATCATTTTTGACCCCACCCTCTCCTTCTTGCCCAACATCAACCAGGTCACAACAACTGCCTTCTTCCACCTGAAGAACATCGCCCGCCTCCGGCCCTACTTGTCCTTTACTGCTGCAGAAAAACTCACCTGCCCTCAGCACTTCCAGACTCGACTACTGCAACGGCATCCTCTACGGTTCACCACACAAAATCATCAATAAACTTCATCATTCATTTCAGAAACTTCAAACTTCATTTCAGAACTCTGCTGCCCGCATGCTCCCTTTCACCCTCTGCAGAGATCACATCACCCTCGTCCTTCACAACCTCCCCTGGCTCCTGGTTAAATACAGGATCCACTTTAAACTTCTACTCATCACCTACAAAGCCTTAAACAACCTGGCCCTTCCCTACCTCTGTGACCTCCTCCCCCACCATGTCGCCTCAGGTCAGCGGACGCAAGAACACTAAAAGCTAAGTAAGTATGTATTTAGAAAAGTGCTACATAATCTCTAATTTATTATTATTAGTTATAAAACAGTTAGCTCAAATCAAGCAATCTAATCAGTTCGTAGTAGTGGTATAATCAGCGTGTACAACGGCCATGACATTGAATTCCTTTGCACTAATCCGTAGTAACCTTAGACTGCCTTTAATTAAGTCAAATGTAAGGCTGTAGATTAATATCGTACACTGCACTGTGACTTTTACTGTCCTCTTTTACCCTAAATGTATTTTAGCCTGTTTCTATTTCACCCTTCTAAAATTTAATGTGTTTTTTTTTTCAATTTCCCTTTGTTGCTGTTATGTTTTATGTAAAGCACTTTGAATTGCCTTGTTGTTGAAATGTGCTATACAAATAAACTTGCCTTGCCTTGATTACTGGCTTGCTGGAAACTAATGGAAGTGGACGCTCCAAAAGTAAACTTCGACCTCTTACCATGAAGGAGTGCTTTGAGCAGGTATTGCCGGGGAAAAAAAGACACCTGTGAGACATGCGGAGCTGACTTAAGCCTAGTTCACACTACACAATTTTTTGCCGGTCACACATTTTACTCCCCTCCAGCTCTCTGTAGCTCAGACAATCCCTGCTGCCTGCGTGTGCTGATCCATCCTTTCACCCAGATTCTTTGTCTTTATAATTGCCATCTTTCATGACAAAACGTGGTTTGGAGACCAGCGCCGGGTGACACGGCTTCTGTCAGCTCGTGTAGTGTCACCGATCAGTCACATAGTGTGAACGCCACAACAGCTTCAAGACTCCCGTCACAAGACAGCAAGTTGTGTAGTGTGAACAGCGTCATTCATCATTAAAAGAGATATAAAATTTGCCACACAAACATTCAACAAGCACACGAAGACTCACAATGACCCACATGTGAAGAGTCTGGATACCATAAGCGTATATCACGGCCTGTTGTGAGCTATTGCTTAAATAACCTGTGAGAGCAGCTTCTTGAGGAGCTGTGCGATGGCCGGGTCCTCAGGAGTGGGGCATTCTGGGATAGATCCTGCACGCTTCTTCTGTCGCAGCAGCAGGTGGCGGAAGAGGCTGGCGATGTCTTTGGAGCGCAGGGCGTAGTCGAAGATGGAGCGACTGACCGGCTCCTTCAGCACACTCAGAAGCACCAGCTCTTTATCAATCTAGAGGAGGGAGGGAGGGGGGGGGGGGGAGAGAGAGAGAGAGAGAGAGAGAGAGAGAGAGAGAGAGAGAGAGAGGAGAGAGAGAGAGAGCGGGGGTCGAAGGTGAAGAGTAGGATGAAAGTGAAGGAGGTCGCAGAGGTGGGACCAAATCGTTTTTCAAGTCACAATAAGTCTCAAGTCTTAGCACTCTAAGTCCCAAGCCAAGTCCCAAACTTTGGGTTTTGAGTCCTAAACAAGTCATAATGTGCTCTTCACCAAATTTAAAATCATTTCATATTTTTACTAAAAGTTAAAATGAAAAAAACTTTATTGAATGAAGCCTTTACCTGTATAGAAAAAAGGCAGGGGTGCAGTTTCACACAACAAATGTTCTATAATTTCATGAATTAAATGAGATGTTCGTGTTGCTAATTATTTTTCTCAATATTGAGATCACAATTATTTAACTCATTAAATTAGGAAACATTAATCTATTGAACTTTTAAAATGTAATACTTCATTTTTAAATACTATTAGATATGCATTATGCCAGCATCCCAAACAGCCCATGAAATAAGAATAAGAATAGTTATCCAACATTAACTTTAAGCAGCGTCTAGAGCGCAAGAGGACGACAGATGGATCACTGAGGGGGATCTGTGTGTGTGTGTGTGTGTGTGTGTGTGTGTGTGTGTGTGTGTGTGTACACATGGAGCGGAGTATGGGCAGGTGACAGGTGAACTACGAAGTTATGTTATAGAACGCTGAAATACAACCGTGGTGTTTTGTCGGGAGATGCAGTCACTTAAACAAACGGTGAGAAAACTATAAATCTGTTAGACGCTAGAAGACACAGACACATATTTTACAAGCAATTTTACCGACCAGGTAAAGCAACACTGAAAACCCCTGGTTTAGAATAAATCTAAATGAACGTGAAAGCTGGCCTGGGGCTTAATGTGAAGATATAAGGCATTGATTTTATTATTATTAATAATATTAATATAGTAGTAGTAGCCATTTTGGCGCGCTTCAGACAGTTGGTGATCATTCCCTCTGGCTGGATGAAGCTCTACGTTCCTGATTTTACATATAATCCATGATGATACAGAAATAAATGGCAAAAAAGCATACTGTCAATATTTTAGAGACCCCCCAACATTTCAAAAATCTCGTTTTTAAAAGGGAGCTCATGTTTTATTAAGAGGAGTTAAGCTCTCCCTGGCTCCCCCGTAGCACCGACTGAAAGCCCAAAGTCGTAATTGAGATTTTACTTTACTTTACTTAATTAATTGCGCAGCGCTTTGCTGATGCAGCACGGAGTTTTTTAATATCATAATTTATATTTGGGCATGGTGAGTGTCAAGTCAGCTCTAGTCAAAAGGCTCAGATCCTAGTGAAGTCAGGAGTCCTTGGTGTTAAAGTCAAAGTGTCGAGTTGTCTTCTTAGATTTTGTCAAGTCGAGTATGAAATCATAATTTCTGTGACTCAAGTCTGACTCGAGTCCAAGTCATGTGACTCGAGTCCACACCCTTGGTCACACGAGACACAAATGAAAGACGTGTGGCGACGATGAGGACTCACCTGGATGATGGGCTGGGTGATGAAGGGGTTGAGGTGGGGCATCAGTTTGCAGTAGACATCGGCCACGTTGAGGTGCTGTGCGATGACAGTGATGAAGCCCACTGCCCCGTAACGGATCCACAGGTTGGGGTGACACAGGAACGGAGCTATGGCAAGACAGAGAAGACAAATTATAAATGCTCCGTATAGCGCCTTTCTAGTCTTTTCGACCACTCAAAGTGCTTTTATACATCTGCATTCACTCACAATCATACACTGAACTCAAACAGAAACTAACATTCACACACTTGAGGAACAGACGCCAGGATTCAGGGTTCAGTATCTTGCCCAAGGACACTTTGACATGCAGCCTGGAGGAGCCGGAGATTGAACCGCCAACCTTCCGATTAACGAGCAACCTGCTCTACTTCCTGAGCCACAGCTGCCATTCAATTTGGTGTTTAGTTCAAATGACAAAACTGCAACTTTCTAGACTTAAATGATCTTTTAAACTGACAAACATTATGCTTGTAATTCAGGAGACAATTCAAACAGGATCTAAACGTTAGTTGTCTTTCAGCATTTACTATCATACATATTCTTTTCAAAACAAGGTCCCATGGGGCGGAAGGGAGGGACTTAATTAGATTTCATGTCAAGTATTTATAACAACATCCAGTGTGATGTGTGTTCATCAGGCTGTGGCCTTCGCTCAGTGAGCAGCAGACTCTCAGATCTCACCTATGTCACTGACGAACTCGTAGATGTGAGGTTTCTGTAGCAGGCCCAGCTGACACATGCAGGTGAGAGAGTTCAGAGCTTTGTAGATGACGAACTCCTCTGTGTCGCTCAGACCCTGCTGGAGGAGAGGCTTCAGGATGGCGGAGCTCTGCCAGCCAACGTACGCTGCAACACCTTTAATAGGGAGAGAAAACAAACGCACAAACTGATTCACCAGTTTATCACCAGGATAATGTGTACTTTCCTTATCTGTTATGAAAAAAACAAAACAAAAACATTTAGATTTTTAAATTTACAATAAAATAAAAATACATTTTAGTGCTGAACCAAAATCTATGAAAAATCAGGAGATCGCTAACTTTGTTTTGGAGAGATTTCTCCTGGAAGACTCAGGCGGTAATAAAGAACCAGATTAATCAGAAAACCAAATTAAGTAGGTTTCAGCAGCCGTGCTGGAGGGCCGGATCATACCTCTGGTTTTTGGTCTTGCCCACTCTTTCTCTCATAATCTTTTTTGGAAAGGAGAGGATCATTTAATCTCAGAGATTCTCAGCCTGAAATCTGATTTCTCTTTTACCTTTCTGTACCTTGGAACTATCCCTGAAGGTCTCAGTAAAAGTGACACCTACCTGATCTGAACATCTTCTTGGCCGCAAGCAAGAAAGCAAATTACAAAATGTTGGCTGCAGAGGAAACCCTCCCTCAGTATCCCCCCTTATCAACACAATGATAGTGCGCTCAGTGGAGAAAATTACTTTTACTCTTCGCCTCCTAACGGAGAACGGAGTCAAATATTGGGAAAAGTGGGATTGTCATTTTCATAAGCACCATGAACTGCACCTGTTTGGGCTTCTACATCACAAAGGACCAAGTCACAAGCAATCCTAATAGTGTTTGAATATACCCCGAATTCCAATTCATAGCAGACACACAGAAACTCCCCTATTTACTGGTAGAAATGCCCAAATATATGTCCCCTCATGCCATGAAGTGAGGACAACCAGTGGAACCTCAGACTGATAAATAATTGTACAGATTTTCAAATTATTATCATTTTGATCGTTTGATATTTTAGTAATTGTTTTGTTTTTACATTTGATACTGATTTCTTTTTTTTTTATTTGTTATTATTTTTAATCAATTAATTATTTCTTTACGCTTCCTGTTTTATTTATTTATTTTTAATATATTTTTTAAACAAACACACGCTTACTATTTTTTATTTTTTTTAAACACACACGGAGACACACACACGCTTACTGTTTTATTTATTTATTTTATTTTTAATATTTTTTATTTTTCACACACACAGTTTTGTTTATTTATTTTATTTATTTATTTTAATATTTTTTCTTTTTTAAAAACACAAACACACATATGCTTTGATTACTTTACGCTTTAATTACTTGTTTAATGAAATGTATGGGGTTGATTGTTCTTATGTAGTATGTATGATGCTTTGGCAATATTGTTTGTTACACATTCATGCCTATAAAGCTAATTTGAATTGAATTGACTGAAGACTTTTCTTTTTACCACTGCCTTTAATTATACCTTTAATACCTTCTAAGACTGCATTTTCTGCTATCTGTGACATAGTCACCGTGAACTAAGCATCGAACCACAGGTCCGGAGCTGTTTGAACTATGCAACTTAACAGTTGGTGCGAACGTTTGTTGGAACTATGGTTTCGGGGAACACCTGTGTTGCTTAACGATGGTTCGTACCAAGTTACCTACTTAGTTACCTCCGTAGTTCAAACTAGAGTCGCAACTGCATAGTTCCAACCAAGGAAGTTGCTACCGTAGTTAGCAACGATGCTTTTGGGAAACGCACCCCTGATCGGTGAGTGGGACCGTAACAGGAAGCGCATGGTGCTTTTGATTGGCGAGCAGGTCTGTCACACAAAGATGACAACATGAATTTGTAACCGCGTTTAAAACGGGTCAGATGCGCTGTATAATTAACCTACATTTTAATAACCGTCTTCACGATTAGCTAATCATGTTCTTTCAAATCGAAATTGCGATTAATCGTTAAGCATGTAATTCTCTTGTGCGGCCATGTCTACAAGTAACTGATATGATAGTCGCGGCCCACGTAGGGGCCCTTAGCCCGCCGGGGCCCTGGGTCGGCTGCCCTCATGCACCCATGCTACCTCTGCTTATGACACTGTCACGCTGTCATTTCATCACCTTCATGTCAGACATAGTGCTTTCTAGGCTATGTTGTGAGGTGTTCTTACCCACGATGCTGTCGAAGAAGGCTCCTCGCAGATGCCAGTCATTCTTGTCGTTGAGGAAGGTGATCATGTGAGACAGCAGCACGTCGTTGGCTTTCTGCCGGCCAAAGAAGACGCAGAGGCGCGTGATGCCGTTCTCCATCAGCGACTGTTTGACGATGTTCTCCGAGTCGCTCAGCAGCGTCACCACCTTCTGCTGCACCATCTCGTGCAACGCCTGCAGCTCTGAACGGGAAACACGCAGCATGTTTTTTTACACAGCTGAACACTTCTACACAACTTCAGCGGGAATGTCAGATCATGTGTGCTTCTGTACCTGAGTCGTAGTTTTCGTTGGGGTGCAGTATTTCCTCCGTGTCCTCACCGCTCAGGTCCTGTTCTGTGTTCACGTTGTTTTCCTGAACCAACTCCAGGAAACGCAGCGCGCTCTCTGCCAGATGAGCTATGTTCTCTGAACGTCACCAGAAACATGAGAATAAAGACAAAGGCCAAAAACAACATGTTCCAAATACTGATGTTTGGAGGCAGGTACCAACGAATCCCTTCGATTTAAAATTTACATTTTACAGAACTGTGACCAAGATATACTTTTAGTGTAGAAATAAACTTGTCAGTTTTCTCTGGTGAACAAACTAGAAGATTTGAATATTGTCATTTTCCTTCCATAATTTAATTCAAAAAAGGAAACTTTCATATATTCTAGATTCATTTGAAACTTTTCAAGCCTTTTTTTTGTTTTATCTTGATGATTACAGCTTACAACTCATGGAAATCAAACAGCATCTCAAAATGTATTCAAATTTTAGAATAAAGAATTAATAATACAGAAATGTCGACGTGAGAAGAGCTCCAATTAGCAAATTAACTCAAAACACCTGTAAAGGTTTCCTGAGCCAATAACCTCCCAGTCTGGTTCTGGTGCTTACCACGATATTAAAATTTTTTGCAGATGCACCATTATGTGATGAAGAATTGTTTATGAATTAATCTTTGGCTTTCTTGTTTAGACATTTCGTTCAACATACCAGCACCAGTATATTGGACTGGTTTAACTGACATCGGCTCTTTTCCAATTGCATTTACTTTGACAGCAAGAAAATTAATATGTATACTAAGTACATGTTATCCTGGTTAATCCAATAAAGAGACTTAGATTCAGATTTTTTTATTTAAAAGGACTTAATCACTCATTTATAGCTTAGCTTTAGATTAACATACAACAGTTTCTTTTAGCAGCGGTGCTAAGGTTCACAGTAAATATATGTGTATATTTAATGAGTGACACTTAGGGGGATCAGGGGATCCCAAACATTAGGCTTTTGACATTAAAGCAACCCTTTGACACTAGTTGCAATTGTCTACAAGTTGTTAAACCTTATGTCTGGTGCACACTAGAGGATTGTCAAATCTTCACCGATTATAAAAACATGGGATACCACAGACATTTGAATTTATTATTAAAGGATAGCCTCTTGAGATGCATCATCTCGTTTTCAAGAGGGTCCTATATAAGAGCAGATGGTTCAGTCCAGACGCAGGACCATACACTCTGCTTTCATACTAAACCGTTTCAGAGTGGCGGTTCTGGAGACTTGGGATCTCACAGAATCCCGCGTGATCAAACGTGACTTAAGATGGAAACAAACATGGAGGCAGACTGTCGTCGTCAGCTGGTTGACCTCGAGTGTGCTGTGTTTTGCACAGAAAAACAAAAAGAAGAGAATCTCACTGTGGATGAACTTGAGGCTGAGGAGAGGGAATCATCTTTTAAAGACCAGATACACAACACGCTGGGGACACTTCCTGCTCAACTTGCTCTCATTGGCTGCTGCGGGGTTTTTGTTCAGAGGCTCCCCAATTTTGAATCTCAAATATCAGATATTAGGATTTGAAATCAGGGTGCCTCCGATCCAGTTCGCGGACTTAAGATTAAGTCTGTAAACGTCCCACACTACGGGATCATTTGGGCGATAATCTTTCCAGCGGTTCTCGGGAGGTCGAATCAGACACAAAATGGGCCCAATGATCCTCTAGTGTGCAGCCAGCATTTTTTTCTTCTATTAAATGGTTTTTTAGGGGCATAAACATGTGATTTTATCCAGCAATTTGTAAGAAAAAAGCAAAGATTAGAGGAAAATCTGAAAAAATAGATTAGTTGGATTAGCTGGAATGTTTTCCTATACAGTTATCATCCTGTTACCCCTCAGCTTTATCTTTGTGGGCCTTGTGGGGTCCCGACACCGACCTGGGGGACCACTGGTTTAGACCATTATGTAGTAAATAAATTGATCTCAAAATGAGATCCCATCTGGATCCATCAAACACACCTCAGGGCATGACAGAGACTTATTAATCAAAACATGATGATGTCTAAACCCTTTTCTGAAGGAACCCTGAGATAATTTATTCTTATTTTACACTGAGTAAACCCAGGATGTCAACACTTTTTATAGCTGCCCTGTTCCAACAAATAGAAATGTTGTTTATTTTAAATAATGAAGCCTGATGTAGTTGCTATTTTTGTAAATATTGAGCTCTTCACCAGAATTCAAAATACATTTCTGTAGGTATGAGTAAGTCTTTTAAAGTAAACATTTTATCTGGAAGCCTGATAACCACGGACCTGCGTATGCCAGCCTGACGATGGTGGCGTCGTCCTGGGCGAGGTGGGCGATGCCTGGCAGGATGTACTCTGGGTAGATGTTGACGTCGTTCCTCGGCACCTCTTTCACCAGCGCCAGCACTTTGGTCAGAGTGCGCACGGCCTGAGCGCGCACGCGAGGCACGGGGTCGTTGCAGAAGTGCAGCAGGTAGGGCGTGATACGGTCGAGCAGGATGTCGACGCCGAGCCGTGGAGCCAGGTGGAGGATGAGCTCCAACGCTGCAAGCTTGGAGTCGCAGGAGTGCAGCGTCTGGAGGCAGGACGTGATGACAGACACCAGGACGATGAGGCCCTGCTCCTCTCTGGAGCTCAGCACGCCATCGCTGATTTCCTGAGACGGAGAGGAAGAAGAGGAGCCTGCAGGGGAAACAGTTTGTCTTTTTTAAACAGCCAACAAAAACTGAAGAGAAGGTGTTTCATTGTGTAACCATCAGAACATCTTACCTCTCAGCTCCCTCTCACCTCCTCGCAGATTGTGCAGGATGTTGTCGAGGTCTTTGCGGATGACGAGAACTCGCTCGTCTGCGGACTGGAAAGTCTCTTTGGCGAACTGAGCCATGTACGGCTGCAGGAAGGTGTAGAAGATGTCGGGGAAAGCTTTCCCTCTCTGCTGCTTCAGGTACTCCTCTGCTGCCAGGCGCTTCTCTGGCTCCCTCTGCACCATCTGAGCTACCTGAGAGAGAAAATTACACCCAGAACATGTAAACTACTGTCAGAAAACAAAATGCGTTTGTTAGACTAGAGGTCAGCTACACTGGCAATTACAGACAGATAAGGTTACCAATGGAACTTTTTCAGACATTTCGACTTATCATTACTAAAAAAAAGCACAGGTACAACAAATTTGTTTAACAGCTGCTCAGTTCTCAGGAAGCCAGTATGCACAACAGCAGGACCCTGGAACCAGTTTTATAATGTTATAAATCACACCTGTTCTTTTCCTGCTGTGACAGGTCAAACTGTCTGCTGTAAAAAAAGGTTTATTGTTATTCAGCCTGATGAATCTGAAGGCGTTATTTACTCACTGATCTCCAAACAGTGTCTAGAATGGGATGAAATAACTATCTCCTCTGTATCAGATCACTGTAGACAGCATTGTAAATCAAGGAGAAGGACTGTTTTATTGCAGTATTAGATTTAGGGTGCTTTCACACCTGCCTGCACTGGAGTTGGTTTTCCCCCTTGGAGTGGTTCACTTGTGGTGTGAAAGCAAACAAACCAACCACAGGATTTTATGATAACAGAGATGTGATCTGAGCATTATTTCCAGTTAAACCAATAAATCCATCTGCTGAATGTGTTCAGCGATTTTATAATTGATCTGTGTAAGCCACTATGTTTATGAAAATCATTTGTCAGTGCAGGTATTTCCCTGATTAATAGGTTAAATTCTGTTAAAAAGGAGAGCCAGCAGTACTCTGTTTACCCCGTCAGTTCATTAAGTCCATAAAACATTTGTTTATATTTGGGGCGGCTGTGGCTCAGGAGGTAGAGCGGGTTGGCCCTTAATCGGATGGTCGGCAATTCAATCCCTGGCTCCCCCCGGTTGCGTGTCGAAGTGTCCTTGGGCAAGATACTGAACCCCGAATTGCCCCTGGCGGCTGTTCCGCCAGTGTATGAGTGAGTGTGAATGTTAGTTTCCGTTTGAGCACTTAGGCTTAGTGTATGAATGTGTGTGACTGGTGAATGCAGATGTAGTGTAAAAGCGCTTTGAGTGGTCGAAAAGACTAGAAAGGCGCTATACAAGTACAGAGTATTTACATTTACATATTTGATACCACAGTATACTATAGGCTAACAAGCCCTGAATCATTACTGTACATGTCCTGTTGATGTGCGGTCTAAGAAATTATTACTTTGTGAGCTCTTTGCAATACAGATGAGAAGCATTAAAGTGCTTCATAAACTTCTGTCAGTCACCAAGGTTTGATTTCCTCACGTGGGTCCTGATGATGCAGGATCCCAAAGCTGTCCAATCAACAAGTTACCTGTCAGTCTGTGTAACGTCATGGTTACTTCTCTTGGGCTGTTTGTAAAACTGCAGTGCGAACATGAACCAGACCAGAACTAAAATGCAACAGTGTATCATTGTTTTCATAACCCAGAATATGAGCTCATCTGTTCCAGGACAGACGGACCAGTGTTTCTGTGATGATGTTGTTTATGCTGTTTAATTTCATTAACATATATTTATGTGCAAAGGGGGCACTTCAGTAGCATAAAGCAGAATCATTTACGCAGCATAGAGGGTGCTGGATGTTGCAAAGCCCTCTCAGACAACATGACTGTGGTATTTATAGATAAAACGGTTTTGACATCTGACACCCTCACAGCCGACAGTGATCATTACCAGCTCCCGGATGCTCCGGTCCTCGATCTTCATGAGGACGTGCTCCGTCTGGAAGTGTCCTTTACGATACGCCAGCAGCTGGGACAGATCGAAGAGAGGGACGCCCTCTGTGAACAGCTCCGCTATCACACAGCCTGAAAACACGAAGGGTTGAAAACTCAAATACACACACACACAGTAATCCAACCATTGGTTTTCACGTTCTAGCCATTTAAATACATAGTTTATTTGCAAAGCATACCAACATGTTTTAGACAGATTAACAGTACACCTGGTCCTTAATCATCATACGTGGAGATAAGTGGGTTATTACTGATTTTCTTCAAAGCTGTGGTCTATAACAACAAGTCTGTAAAGAGTGACTTCAGTACTTTTCAACCCTATTTTCTATGTGAATAAATGGGACACATTTTCTGAAATTAGTCTATAGGTGTTTGTTTTAGCAGACTCAGAAGAGTCTGATGAAATTATGGGAAGGATCCCTTCAGAGAGAGAGAGAGACCTTTTTTTTTTTTTTTTTTTAAAGAGTAAGATCCTTTTTGTTTAACCAGAAACAGCCATTATATTTCTCTCAAAGCCACCATAATTTTCCCTCTGTGGTCTACCACTTCATAGAGTCTGGTGGCTATGACGCGAGAAATGTAACTGCTGTTTCTGGTTAAACAAATAGGATCTTATTCTTTTAAAAAAACAAGTCTGTCTCTGTAGGGATCCTTTACATAATGTTAATAAACAACATGAGCCTGTCGGCGCCAAAAACAAGCACTTTCATGGGGTGCAAATGCCTGCATTACACCACAGCCCTGTTTCACTACTGCTGAAGTTACCATTCAAGACTAAACCTGCGAAAGTGCAGGTGATTTACAGGGTGTGGGATCGAGACTTTTCAAGCTGAACTCCAAACATGAAGCTATTTTCAGATACAAGTAACTTCTTTTCTTAGAAGCCCCATTAAGAAAATAATGATAAATTATGAAAAATATAATTTAGTGGAAAATATATCTATACATGATAAAATATGATATACAGTCGACCTAAAAAAAAATAATTATTAAATCCAAATTTACTTTGGAAAACTATGAGCAAAAGAAATATAGTTAACTGAAAGTTACATGTGGGGATTTTGGTACAATTTAATGTTCAGTAGTTTCATGTGCGAGAGATTGTTTGCAGTCTTTTATTGCATATTTACAAAATGCTTAAAGTGATTATTCAGCAACTTAAGTGTGCAGCTACAGTAAAAACGGGTCTGTGGTCACAACGCCATGGCAGCTGATCACGAGTACATGAGCAACTCTCAGCCAATAAGATGATGGTTTTTGCTGTGATGCATTTTCTATTATCTGAAATCTGACAGATGCTTTGGAAAATAATTACATATGACCCTGATGGAAGAACCACGGATGTTTTGAGGGGCTCTACTTCAGTTTTATCTCCACACATCTCTACCTGCAGAGAAGATGTCCATGGCCTGTTTGAGTTCCCCTCTGCTCCTCTGGTTGTTATTGGTCAGATCCACCAGCGGCGTATTCTGGTCGCTCTCAGTGGTAAACATGCTTCCATCCACGAACCTCTCTGGTGCGATGTAGCACGTTCTCCGCCTGGACGTGTCGAAGAAGTAGTTGAAGTCGGCGGGGTTGTCCTCCGGCAGGTATGTGGGCTTGAAGCTGGCGAAGTCTGTGAGCAGCACCCAGTTCCAGCTGGTCACCATCACGTTCTCTGTCTTGATGTCGCCGTGGCGGACGCCGGCTTTGTGGGCCTGGTCGACAGCGTTGAGGATCTGAAAGGCCAGCCAACGCTTCTCCACGTTGTTGAGGAATGGCCGAGTGCTTATGCGGTCGTACAGGTTGTCCCGGACGTACTGACGGAACAAGATGGCAGCTTTCTCAGTCAGGGAGGTTTTCTGGAAGGGTAGGCAGTTCTGGCAGGAGTGCAGTCTGATCTTCAGCTCCTCCAGCTCCTGTTTGTAGCTGGTCAGGGGCAGCGAAGGGTCCTGGATGGCAAAGACTTTGACCACCACCAGGCCCTCCCGGTGTTTGGCCCGGGCCACCTTGAAGAAGCGAGTGCTGCCCAGACTCTTATCATACTCGTGGTCGTGAATGTCTGAGAAGTAGCTGTCCACAGACAGGATCTGCGAGGGGGCGATCCCCGCCAGCTGATTCCCCATCACGCCTCAAAACACGTCTGTGGAAAAGTTACAATAAAAATCGGTTAGATACACATACGTATAGATCAACACTTCACCTTTTCACTATAGGAACTTAATGAAATGTAACCTAAAGTGTGTCTGATGTAGGGCTGGGTGATTCAGCCAAGAATGTTATAACAATAACAAATTTTATTTTATTTGATATAGATAATTATCAGGATAAATGTCAAATCATTATTTCTTTCAAGTTTAAAGGCTGATTTTTGCTCCTGAGTGAAAATTTAAGAAACCAGATGGTCAATTATATGGTTAAACTTTTCTTTATGGTCTGAACGTGACAAACACTTGATGCCAAACAGTCGATGGCTTCACAAATCTGAGGAAGAACATTCAAAACTATTATAAAAAAAATAAATTTAACAAATATGATTTTGATGATTTCAGTCCCTTTTCCTCAATAAAATAAAATATTTTAACAGAAACATTAAGTGCTAATTTGTTCATTATTCATATGAATTAAACCAAGTATTTATTGATTCTCAGTCATCCAGGTCATAGTTATCCATTATTATTTATATTAATTATATTGATATTGCGTAAAATTATATTGCGATAATTATCATTATTGTTTTATTGCCCATCCCTACAGCAAAATGTTTACTTTGGGTTCATACAGCTGTAGTAATGGCGAGTTGTGTTTATTCGCGTTATCGCGTTGTGTGTGAAGACTCAGCAGCTGTCCAGCGATAAACCCCCGCGAGGACAGCGTTTGTTCTGAATGCAGGTGTCCTGCCGAAAAGCGATCGACTGCCGAAAAGTGATTGCCGTCTGCTGGAGCTGTATTGCCCAGTCTCTTCAATCACTTTCTGGCAAGTGAAATAGCCTACTGCATTTTTTGGGTTGTATTGGCCATTTAAAGGTATTTTAAGAGGTAAAAAAGTACTAGGTGAGCTATAATTTGTCAAATATAACTGTTCTGAATGAAATCAACTAATTTCAGGGCAGAAATAACCTTTCAGTCAATAAAGGCTGGTATTGTAAAGGTATTATAACAGGTAAAAAAAGAGTGGATTGGTTGGTAGGCCTACACAGCAAGTAAAATAATGCAGAGTCATAAGGATAATTACAAAATTGTCTTCATTTTATATCTAAGTTGGCAGTAAGTCATGTTAATTAGGCTACAGCCCGTTTTCCAAAAATAAACAAAGATATTACACATATGCCTACCAAACATCAGCTTTCGGCAGACGATCACTTTTCATCTCGAACGCACCTAATCTAACCTAATCAGGCTATAAATCAAAAAACAAAACTCACAGGATGTGTTTCATAACAATGACAAGTGTTCCGTTGTATGAAGATAAATGAACGAATGACAATTTAGAAAAAAGGAATCTTGAGGAACAACAGATGAAAATATTAGCATTTTAAGCCAACTCTGGATCATTTATAGTTACTTAGCTGTAATTAATGAGCACTGCCCCTGTGAACTTAAATAAACAAATACATAAAGATTAAATGACACATGAGCAGCAAGTCACATGATTCAAAGGAGTTAGCATGCCAGCTAACCATTATTCCCCTAAAGGAACCGTGTACGTAAGCACCATACTCGAACCATCACTGTCCGCGTGAAAACAATTAAATAACGCGATTATTATTACCAGCAGCTAATGTCGCTCCTGACTCAGGACTGCTGATGCTGTAGCAGGCTAGCGAGCAGCCGACGGTTTCCAGCGATGCTGCTAACGGCTGCTCACGGTGACAAACTTCAGAGTAACCGTCTTCATGTCGTCTCTCTGTGCGTTAGCTACGGGAGCAGTCCAGCTATCGTACCGTCCTGCCACCGGTAAAACGCCCCGCTGCGGTAAACGGGCCGTAACCGTGATTAACAGACAGAAGTAGCAGCCTGAATCACCGTTAGCTCGTTAGCCGTTTCCAGCTATTGTTATGAATCCGGGTGAGACCGGAAAGGTACACCGCGGTGCTTCTTCGGTGGTTTCAGTTTGTATCCTTTGACACAAGTCATATTATGGTATATTATATTATATATTTTTATATTATATAATATTATGTTATATAATATTATTTTCATATTATATTATATTATATTATATTGTATTATGTTAGAGAATATTATTTTGGATTTTATTTTATTATATTATATTATATGGGTGGCGACAGTGCAGAGGATAAGACACATGCCTCCAAACCCTAAACAAAATTCAAATAACGGTCCGATTTTGAAATTCCTATGTTCATTCCTTCGTTTGAGATAGACGTTAAAAAAAGAAAGACAGGTGGGCCAGGTGACCCGGAAGTAATAGGAAACATTTTAAAATAAAAGCCAAGCTTGTAGTACGGGAAGATCTGTAACATTATGCAGCACTAACCTTATACCAGGGTGACGTTAGATGAAAATAAATAAATAAACAAAGCTGGACCGAGAGAAATACGTTAGCAACAGTAGTTGATTACATGCACTATAATATTGTGCATTTATTCAAGTAACAGCAAGAGTCACATTATTTTAAGCGCATTGTTTGGTGCAGTACAGTTGGTAGGCTAATATAGGTTAACCTAAGAAATTATTGTGTGTGCAGAGTCGTTACTGTCAGCGCTATATTTTAAATATTAAATTAATATTTAACGTGGTTTAAGGTCAGGACTTTTGACTTGGCCTTTCAAAAACCTTCACTTTATTCTTCTTTAAGGTAGGTAGTTAGATTTATTTTGTCACAATATAACAGGTTATATAGTGAAATTGAGTTTGTAACTCCCTTCTGCTACATAGCAGACAGTATACATTAATACAGAAGGAATTATAAAAATGGTAAACAGAAATAAACTATCATCACTGGATCAGTGCTGAATTAGAGTTTAAGAGTCTGATATCTTGGGGGGAAAAAGCTGCTCTGCAGTCTGGTGGTGTGGCAGCAGAAACTTCTATATCTCTTCCCAGAAGGCAGCAGGGTGAACAGGCTGTGGGTACTGTCCTTTAGTGTCCTTTGGGCTCTGCTTCTTCTGAGCAGTTTGAATCACCCGCTGCAGAGCCCTCTGGTTCTGGGCCGTGCACATCCCATGCCAGTTAGTGATGTTTCCAGTCAGGATGATTTCTATTGCTCCTCTGTAAAAGCTGACAAGAATTTGGCCTTCCTAAGTTTCCTCAAGAAAAACAATCATTTCTGAGCTTTCTTCACCAGCGTGGAGATGTGAGATGACCATGTCAGGTTGTCTGTGATGTTGATTCCCAGGAACCTGAAACTGTTCACCTGCTCCACCTCAGCTCCACTGATGTAGACAGGAGTGTGTCTTTATCTCCTTTTTTCCTGAAATCAATGATCAGCTCCTTAGTTTTGCTGACGTTGAGCAGTAGGTTGTTCTCTGAGCACCACTCTGCAAGATTATGAATTTCATCCCAATTGTTGTTTGAAATCCAGCCATCACAACAGAGCTCTCTCCATGTCGGGGGATGCCGTCGTGGTGTACAGCGTTACGACAGTAACCGTTGTTCTGGAGGTGGAGTAGACTTTACAGCTGACTTTAGGTTATGATGTTTAGGAGATCAAAGCGAGCATAAAAGGTGTTCAGTTCATCTGGTACTGTGGCCTCACACATGATGGGGGAGCTCCTGCTTTTGTAGCCTCTGATGTTTTTGTTGGCCTGCCACATATCTCTGGTGTCGCTGGTGTTGAGGTCTCTCTCCAGTCTCTGCTGATGTCTCCGCTTTGCCTCCTTGATGCCAGCTTTCAGTCTTGCTCTGGCAGTGCTGTAAGCTTCTTTATCACAAGACCAGATAGCAGCTTTTTTGGCTCTGGATAGAGCCCTCACCTCTCCATTCATCCAGGCCTTCAGATTTGGAAATGATTTTATCGTTTTAGTGATCTCCACATCATCCACACATTTGCAGATGTATGATGTCACTGATGATGTATATTCCTCAGGTTGATGTGGCTCTCTGGGGCGGCGGCCTCTTTGAATATTCTCCAAACTGTGCTCCCAAAACAGTCCTGTAGAGCTCCTGTAGATTCATGTGTCCACACTTTGACTGTTTTAATTGTTGGTTTGACCTTTTTTTAATCAGTTGGGTGTAAGTGGGCGGAAGAAGCAGAAAAATATGGTCTGATAAACTAAAATGGGGACGGGGGAGGGCTTTGTAGCTGCCAGGAATATTGGTGTAGACGTGGTCCAGCGTGTTTGTTCCTCTGGTGGGGATGTGGACATGCTGGTGGAATTTAGGTAATCTTGTTCTGAGATCTGATTGATTAAAATCACCAATATGTATATATAATATGTAGTGCATTTTTTGAATTTGCATCTGGAGGAATGTGAACAGAAACACTGGAGAATTCTCTGGGCAGATACCAGCAACAAAAAACAAAAACCTTCCGAATTCCTCATCTAATAAACATTGTCCATCCACTTGGCTGCGGTTGAGCATCAAGAATCATTAATGTAGGTACACATAATGCTGAGGCAGATTGGAGGGTACATGTGGAGGTTTGTTTGGTGAGGAGTTCCTTAAGGTAGGGAGGGGGGACTTCACCATGGATGCACTGGTGGGTAAGGAATAACACCTTGTACTCAGTCCTGAGTGAGACAGGAAGCCAGTAAATTCAGAAAATTCTATAAAGTTCAGAAACTTCAAGCACCACTGTATAGCATACTTCCACGGCAATAATAAACGCCATATACTATTATGTATTAATAGGCCAAGACTGAACGACCATCGTTGGCATCTTCACCTGAGGCCAATAGGTTATGTTTGTTCATTTTGGTGCTGTTCCTCTGAAGGAGTTGAGGGCTTTGCTCTCCACTTCTTCCATGTAGATGTTCGCCACAATCAGGGATACCGGTGATCCCATGTCACAGCCATGCTTCTGTCTGTAGAATCCGGGGAGACTGAACAACCACTACACAAACTCCTCAGGTCAAGACTCTGCAGTCTACTTACATCTAAAGGACAGAGGACACTCGTTTGAGGACCACCAGGTGCACATTTTAGACAGAGAAGATGGATGGTTTGAAAGAGGTGTCAAGGAAGCCATCTACACCAGGGTGGAGAAGCCGTCATTGAACAGGGGAGGGGGTCTACACCACCACTTATCCCCCACTTACAATGCTGTCCTTTCATCACTTCCCAGGAAACTCAACAAACGTAACCTATTGGCCTCAGGTGAAGATACCAACGATGGTCGTTCAGTCTTGGCCACAGGTAGTCTTAACGACTGTAACGACTGTCGTCACAGCAACAAGGAACACTAACGAACCAGCGGTATCGATGACCCGGGATAACGACCCCACTGAGGTTAAATAGCTGAGTTTCCCTGCCAGTCAGTCAGAACTGAAGAAGTCCTTTGGATTTAACCTTCTTTGGATATGTGCTATATATGTTGAATAAATGTTGTATGGAAAAACTTGTATGGATTCTCTTCACTTGCATTAAACAATGGGAGTGTTGGATGTGCTGGAATGTGTATGGAGAAGAAAGATTCACACAGTATATAGCACACTGGTGGATTCAGAAACCAAAAACGGGAGATTTGCTGTTTTTTTTGTTTCTTCGTTTTTGGTTTGAAACGACAAACGGGAAAAAAGGTGGTTTTCTCCTTTGTTTGTTTTGCGGTTCAAACGAAAAACAAACTATCAGAACGTACACGGACCAGAAACACATTGCTCCAGAGGCATGCGACCTCTGACAAATGTAGCAATTATAAGTCACTTTGGGAAAAAAGCGTCAGCTAAATGTAATTATATTATATTACACTGTATTATATTATATAATATTACACAATAATATATTAGATTATATTTTATACATTTATTTGTTTGAGAAAAGGATGGGAAAGTATTTTTCCAGCCCTCATCCCATTCTCTAATAAAACTAACCTAATCATTGTTATGAGGCTGTGGGTGTGTTGAGAGAACCTGAAAGTCTTTCTCAACACACCCTGTTCTTCCTCTCCAGTATTTCCCATGATATTCAAAAACGTTTTTGCAGTTTCTGTTCTCTCAAATTTCCGTTCCGCCCCAGCCACTGCATTAAATCACCATGGCCAGAAGTGCTAAGAACTTAACCTTCTCCTTACGCAAACAATAGCCTTTTCATCATGCTTTCTACATTATTTGTTCTACTTTATACTCCTTGAATCTTTTCCTAACTCTTGGCTTGACCTTTTTCTTAATCTTCATGTTTTCCATCTCTTTCTTTCTCCTCGGACAGTCTGCCATGCTTCATCACTGCCCCACAACATTGATTTAATCATTAATTAATTATAAACTTAGAGTTCTTTTCCACAGTTTCTACATCTCATCTCAATTACCACATATCCCCATATCATGTCCGGTCTATCATGTCCAGCAATGCCTGGACTGAATGGGTTTGGGAACAAAAGACCTCATTGGGCAACTGATCCGTTCCAAGAATACTTTCATTCTTTAAATCTACTTGCAGTGAACATATAGGCCTATATAGGCTAGATAGATAGATAGATAGGTTATATAAATAAGTACTGTATAGATGAAGAAGAAGACATACTTTATTTAATCACTCTGTTGTTATTATTGTTATTAGTACACACACAAATGCACATGCAACGACACATATGTACATATACATTTATATATAAATCTATATAGCCTACTGTGTATGTATATTTATCTATATATGTATACCACCATATATATAGCTAGAATGTGGAGAAAAAACTCATCATAGTTTGGAAAAGAAGCATGGTGAAACTAAGAAGATTTCTAAGTCTTACTTCTGATGAGAAAACAATCTCAATCCTTATCTCTGATTTTTATCAGAGATTATATACCTGCTATTTTGACCCTCAATCTTGCTGTTTCCTTTGAAAAAGTTTGTCCATTTATTTCTAAAATAAGTCAGGAAAATATTGAAATATGTAAAAGTCATTTAACTATTATTGAACTGGATGTGGGCGGCGCGGTGGATCAGTGGTTAGCCCG